GATAGGACTCCTTCTTCAGCTTGACGGCATCCCTTACTATCGGTGTCCACCACCGGGTTCGGGGATTGCCACCACGACAGGCACCGCAAACCTTACGGCCACAGCTACGGGCAGCCGCATCGACAATAGAGGCAGAGAACACAGCCCATTCGGACTCCATGTCTCCAACCTCCCTCGGAACCTGAGAGAAGCTCTCCCGGAGGTGGGAGTTGAACACGTCTCTGACCGAGGGCTCCACCAGACGTTCCCAGCAGACCCTCACTACACGTTTGGGCCTGCCGAGTCTTTCAGGCTTCCTCCTCTTCCAGCGTATCCAACTCACCACCAGGTGGTGGTCGGTGGACAGCTCCGCCCCTCTCTTCACCCGAGTGTCCAAGACATGCGGCCGAAGATCAGAAGATACGACTACAAAGTCGATCATCGACCTTCGGCCTAGGGTGTCCTGGTGCCAAGTGCACCGATGGACATCCTTATGCCTGAACATGGTGTTCATTATGGACAATCCGTGACTTGCACAGAAGTCCAATAATGAGACACCACTCGGGTTCAGAGCTGGGGGCCCGTTCCTCCCGATCACGCCCCTCCAGGTGTCACTGTCGTTTCCCACGTGGGCGTTGAAGTCTCCCAGCAGAATGATGGAATCCCCGGGAGGGGCGCTTTCTAACACCCTCCCCAGGGATGCTAAGAAGGCCTGGTACTCCGTACTGCCGTTCGGCCCATAGGCCGAAACAACTGTCAGAGTCCTCCCTCCAACCCGAAGGCGAAGGGAGGCGACCCTCTCGTCTACCGGGGTGAACTCCAACACGAGACGGCTGAGCTGGGGGGAGACAAGCAGCCCCACCCCCGCCCTCCGCCTCTCCTCGCGGGTAACTCCAGAGTAGAAGAGAGTCCAGCCTCTCTCAAGGAGCTGGGTTCCAGAGCCCTGGCTGTGCGTAGAGGAGAGCCCAACTATTTCTAGCTGGTATCGCTCCACCTCCCGCACAAGCTCGGGCTCCTTCCCCCCCAGTGAGGTGACATTCCACGTCCCCAGAGCTAGTTCAAGCGCCCGCGGATCAGGTCGCCGAGGTCTCCGCCTCTGGCTGCCGCCCAATCCTCTTTGCACCGGTCCCTCATGGTTCCCCCTGCAGGTGGTGGGCCCACTGGGGGATGGCCTCGCGTCGCTCCTTCGGGCTGGGCCCGGCCGGGTCCCGCGAGGAAGAACCCGACCACCAGGCGCTCGCCGACGAACCCCAACCCCAGGCCTGGCTCCAGGGTGGGGTCCCGGCTCCGCCGTACCGGGCGACGTCACGTGCCTCGTTTGAGTCCTCGTCATAAGGGTTTTTGAACCGCTCTTCGTCTGACCTGTCACCCAGAGCCTGTTTGCCTTGGGAGAGCCTTCCAGGGGCATTTAGCCCCCGACAACATAGCCTCTGGGATCACCCAGGCACTGAAACCCCTCCACCACGTTAAGGTGGCGGTTCAAGGAGGGGTTTAGTAAAAAAGCCTCCTAAAGTCGCCCAGAACAGAGTGAAACCCCAACATAAAGGATTATATCTGAATGACATAACGAGCTGAGAAAAGCTTTACATCGACCTTATTAATGAAGGAGTCCAGAGACGAGCTCGGTTCATTTGAGTCTAATAGGACCCCGTTCCTACAAGGTTTGTCTTTTTTATGTTTGCTGGTAAATTCATTAATAATAAAGGTTTATTCACCCCAGGAGAAACTCACCAGCAGCTAAATTGACTTTCAGAAAACAAACACTGCCGTTGCCTGGACTTGCTCTTAGCTGGTAGTTTACAGAAAACGAGCCTGTGTAATGATAAGCTAATGACTCATGGAGCTTTGAGATGGTTTGGCTGTTAAAAGGGGAATTTATGGAGGAGTAAAAACCTCCTGAATGCAGTTGGATAGAAACACCTTTTTGTTTGAGGGTGGAGCTGTTATAGAATGCAGCTCTTCAGTGGAAGTTAGTTTAACAGTTAACTCGTTTGATCATGAATAAATAAGCTGAAGGAATCAGCTGCGTATGACAGAAGGAAACCCCAAAACATTTGATGCTTTAAAAGTATTTACGCCCCTTTCTCTGTCCACATTCAAACCAAAAACCTACCTGCCATCTTCCATCAGATCTAAAAGGAAAGGCGTCCCTGGAGCATGATGCTGCCACTGCTGTGTTTTACCATGGAGATAAAAGTAAATCTGACTCTACTTTAGCTGTGATGATTTCTTCTAAAAGGCCTCATAAGATATCTCACAGTGCAAACATCTTTATGTACGGTCATGTTTAAGGTGCTTTATAACCTGATGTGTATTGAGTTTAAACAGAGTTTAGGAGGTCTTAGTTTCAGGCATTAATATTCTGGTGTCCAAGCTTTTTCTATGAGATTAAAATACTCAGGGGCCACAGAATACGGATCAAAAACACAAATGTCTTACGGCTTTGCCTGTTTAAAAACCCCAAAACGAAAACTAGCATACAGTGGCTTTAAATGTTTAGATTTATTATCTTAAGCCCTTTTTCAAAAGATGAGCGATACCTGGGGATCCCATGTGATTAATAAATTCTCCTGTATGTTAGCTTTTTTTGTGCCACATTCACACAGGAAAACAAGAGCCTGAGATTTAGCTGAATTCACAGACAGCCGGATATGAAGCCAATGGGATGCTTTGACACATGGTCAGCTCTGTGTTCCTGCCATGATCAGCATCAAAAAAACAAATGGCCCCCAGACCCCACTTTGAATCCTGCTGCATTATTAAGCCTGTCCAGACTCGGCTGTCATTGGTCTTTTCTGGTCAGACCCACTCCATTTTGTCGACATTTTTATCGGAAGTTTGCTCAGCTTTAAACTTTAAGCTACAGTTTTTGGTTTAAATCTCTCAGCAGAGAGTAGCTCAGATGAAGACGTCACAGAGTGACAGTTGGCTCCTGGCCTCAGACGCCGACCGTCTGCCTGGAATCTGTTCAGCTCCAGGTGGAGACAGAAAAGGCCAACCAACAGACCCACTCCCTCACAGCAACTCATGCTACTGTGGGTGAATAACGTTCAGAGGTCGGTAACCTCTGGTTGGAGCAGAGGTTCTGATGCCGTCAGCCAGAGGAGGGCTTACCCAGCTGAGTGGAACTTGGTTATTAGCAATGCTCCGTCAGTGACTGCTTGTTGCTGCTACCCAGCAACTGTAACCCTTCAAAATGCACATGCAAAACCCCTTAACCCGCTCCCGAGGGAACGCTTAAAAGCGCGTTAACAAGTCTACGGAAACCGCGGCAGACCAAACCAGATGAAAGTGCGCATTCAGCTCGGCAAAGAACTCATGCTCTTCCTCAACACTGAAGTCCTCAGACATTTTTCTTTCGTTGTTTCTTTCTTTGCACAGGTAAACAGCACATTTCTTCTTCTACGCTTGCATTATGGGGAGAGCAGACGCTGAACGCGCACTTTCATCTGGTTTGGTCTGCCGGCTTCCGTAGCGTTGTGAACGCGCAGGTGCGCGCTTTCAGGAAATCCTATACACTACTGTTTATGCTCTAAAACCATTCTAAATGACTTCGTTTCGAGTAAATTCTGGATGCTACCCACTCAGGACACTTGGAATACATTGGACGAGCAGTATGGAGGAATATTGACACGTTTTTTGTGGACTTTTATGGACCTTTCTGTCTCGGACACCATAGACCTCCATTATTTGAATGTCAGCAGACAGCAAGAAGCCTCCCAGATCTCCAGATGCATTTGAGATATCAAAAAAGTACTCCAGAGTGTTGTCCAGCATGGGGGTGAGTGGAAAATGAAGGCTAATCATGTTTTGGGTGTACTATTCCTTTAATCTGGGATGTTTTTCCAAACTGGCTGTAAAGGAGGCGACCTCTACTTTCAGACACCTTAACTTATTAGAGCCGTCAAGTAATCAGCAGTGTAGATCAAGCCCCTCTCTAATAAAATCGTATTTATTCTCTAACATAATGTCGCCCTCGTAGTTCATAATGGCTAACATGTCCTATAGTGGACACACTGTTAGAAGGCCTCCCCTGTGGATTGAATTTGGTTTTTAGCTTTTAATATTCTAAAAGGAAAACAGTTCACCCTTTTACTCCTGATCCTATATGTCCTGCTTCGCTGCCTCAATCATGAGGTCATATCTGATCCTCCCACTTCCTCCTCCACGCTGCCGCCAGCAAGCAGGACTCAGGCGCACACTCACTAGCCGCCGCTTCGTGGAGGAGGGCTCCAGATAAAGCTAAAAGCTTCCTGTGTAGATGTGAGTTTTTGGGGGCCAAGACCTGAAGGGCCAGTAGAGGCAGTGGCAGATCATACATGTACGCTAGCTGTGCTCTGTGATAACTGGATTAAGAAGAGTTAGAACATTTGTCAGAAACCACAGAACAAAGTACGCTTGGCAGTGCATCATTGGGTCAAAGCAAAGCAGTACGTTACCTGGAAGGTTCATTTTGAAGTGTGAGCTGATAACTCAAAGAAAAATCTCTTTCAACCAATTTAATAAATAGTTTGAGTGTTATTCAGTCTCAACATAAATCATCTTGGAAGGTTTGTTTCTGTATGATGAGATTTAAAAACATTTTTTAAGTCTTTAAACTATCTCCAGCTGGATTAAAGTGGACAACAAGCTTCAATTAGAATCAAGTTTTCAACTTTGGGCTTTAACTAGGCCATTTGCTGGCACCATGCTGCTGTAGTTGATGCTGCTACTCTGCAGCCTCTTTGCAGGTCTTTCCAGGATTCTCTTCTTTTTAACTCCACTCATCTTTGAGGTGGAGGTGGAGATGAGGCGTGAGTGGATTCAGTTTGAGCTTCGGAGCAGATTAACAGAAGGAGATGTACTTTTTAGATCTAGTTTATTGAAGTGAAACCAGCTGAGGGGAGCTGAGCCTCCTGCTGCTGGAACAGAGTTTAGATGCTGAGGACAGATGCTGCATCTCCTCAGGTCTGCTTTTGATTGTCTGTAACTTTGACTTCAGGATGTAAACTTGATTTATCTCCTTGCTTTCTGTTTTTCAGCCCTGCAAGGCCCTTTAGATTCCCCAAAAGGTAAGACCTGCCAGAAACTGTTTCTTCTCTGTCTGTGTCCAAGTTTGCAAAACTCTCCTCTCCTCCTCCTCCTTGTGCTCCTCCTCCTGTGCTTTGGTCCTGTCATCCATCCATCTCTGCTCTACTGGAGCCATCATTCCTCAGCAGTGACTCATGAGAGCAGGAGAGGGAGGCTGTCTTGCTCCCTCTACCTGGCCTCCACTAACCAGCAGCGTTGACTACCTCATCAGTCAGTTCTTCTGTTTAGATTGTCTCCTCTATACCTTAGACTGTTTAGAGGAAACTACTCAAATTAAACTGGCTTTTCTTAGGGATGGGTGGAGATTTCCCAGAAAATCAGATTTTTGGTTAAAACAATCAGATAAAACCAAATGAAAGGATTTTTATTTAAAAAATCATAGAATGACTTTTAAAAGTAATGTTCTATCAGTATCTATGATTCTCCATCTGCAGCTCTTCAGAGAGTCGCTGTAGGCTGGATGCTCTCTGATCCTCATCTCTGTGGTGTTTCCAGCTACTCTGAGCTGATAGCTGATTGGCCGGTGGTCGTGCTGGGAGTGTGCACGGTGCTCATCGTGATTTGTGCCCTGGTGGGAGTCCTGGTGCCTGACCTGCCTGATTTCTCCGACCCCCTGCTGGTGAGTCCAGGCTTGTTCATCCTCCCAGTGAAAATGTCACGCCATAAATCTGGGTTAGCATCGGTACGCTCTGATTTTTAAAGGTTGTTTTTTTGTTTTCTAAAGGGTTTTGAGCCTCGGGGAACAGCTATTGGCCAACGGCTGGTCACATGGAACAACATGGTGAAGAACACAGGCTACAAGGCCACACTGGCCAACTATCCCTTCAAATACGCAGATGAGCAAGCTAAAAGGTAACTTCTCCGACTTCTTCATTTCCCCAGAAGCTGCGTTTACATTTTAGACGTGCTCCAAACTCTACAGATATCTTACTAATGTAAAAAAAGACTAAAACATTTTTTGCTGCTAGAGCGCCTGCATTAAATAAGATTAATTCAATAAGACACAAAAATTGCCCATACTGGGACAAATAAAAGCTACTGAACTGAACTAAGGCTGTAACTTGTTTAAAAAACATTTTTCTCCTGCTGCCTGTCTTCAGAATAAACATCTGGATGTTGATTTTGTGACCCGACTGATGCAAAATAACTGGGAAATACATCATCTGTATTCTATCAGAGTTTAAAAAAAATTCTATTAATCAAACTTGTTTTTGCAAACAATGCAAAAAATAAAAATCTAAGTAAGTCAGTTTTTTAATGTTGAAATATTTTCTCTTAATTTCAGAAGGTAAGACAACCAGTGCAATCAAAATAATGATTGAATACTATTTTAAGGGAAAATAAATATCCCTATTCCATTGGAATATAATCTGATGAATTTGCTAAAATTAAGGGAAAAATATAGATATTTTCAGAATTCTTGGAATGTTCTTTGGAAACGCAGTTATAGATGGAGGCCGTCGGGCGTGCTGACACCACCACTCTTTAGTGTGGAAGTTGTTTCTGAAAGAAGAAAACTCAAAGTGAGCTACTTTGAGTCGGGTGTGATCACCCCCATTAAATCTCAATGAGTGCTAAACGCCACGACATCTACTGACACGATTTTCTGTCAGATTGGACGCAAACTCCGATTCTGTGTTCAGGGCTTTACACTTCAGAACATCCAGATTTTACCTGCTGCCATGCTTCCAGGTGTGTTAAACTGGCCTCTAAATTCAGACCTGCTGTGTGGTCAACCTTCACGGCATGAAGGCATTGATGGTCGACACTGTTAGACAGAGGGTTAGGGTTAGGATCTGCATTATCTAGGGATAATTAAGGCTCTAAGTTAAGAAAAGAATAAAAACTAAAATTAGTGTTTTATGCCTGTCTAGATGTTGGTGTGAAAATGTACCAATCTTTATTTGCAGAGCTCTGCATTCTGTGAACCTTGTCTAAACTGTGAAGTGGAAGAGTAAAAATTTGTTGCTAATCACTCTGCTGCTTTTCCTAAAATCACATAGGTACAGAAAAAACAGCACAATGGGCCCTCCTCCTGGCCCCGGCCCAGTCCGGGTATTTATCCTGATTATAATGACAGCAATATTCTACATCTGATTGCTGACTTTAGCCTCTACCCTCTCAGTTTGTCATGAAGCTTATGTTTCCAGCCGCTCTCATTAGTATTTCCACATCTTAATGGGATGACGAAACTCTGGCATGAAGGATTAAATCCAAACTCTGGTTAGACGTTAACTGCTGAACGTTTCAGATCGTCTGGTAAAAAACATGCAGACTAGGTTCTTATCAAGGTTTATCTAAAAGATTGTTTAATCCATTGATTAGTGAGGCTGAAAGGTTATAAACCAACAGCGGGAATCTCCTGTTTTTGTTTTCCAGTCACCAAGAACCTCGATGGCCAGAGGATCACTTCGAAAGAGACAAGCGAGAGGTGGAGTGGGACTTCAGCAAAGAGTTCTTCTGTGATATACCGGGTAAGATCAGCAGGACGCATTAGAGATAATTTAACCTTTAGGCAAGAAAATCCAAAAATGTTTTCACACCCCTGATTACCGACCCAGAGAGACGGATCTGTTTAACACATCAACTGAAAATGGATAGATTATGGAACAGCTGCAGGCCTAACGAGACACGGCCAACTGAGCGGGGAGCATTAATCAGAGTCCTGAGGTAACTCTAGATGAGCTGCTGGGGTGAAATAATCCGCAGACAAAACAGCTATTAGTCTTTGTTTAAAGGAAGCCATAACAGGTCCCTTTGTGGAATCGGATAGAGACACTACCATCCTGCAGTAAGACCTGGAGATGTTAGTGCCACGCAGAGGAGAGAGGTCCAATACAGAAAGAGAACAGCCCTGAACATCCAGCCAGAGATACATGGGAGTATATCTATGTGCTAGAATGGCCTAGTCAAAGTACCAAACTTAAATCTATTGAGAATCTGAGAAAAGACTTGAGAACGGCTGCAAGCAATCTGACTGAGCTTGTGCTATTTTGGAAAAGAAGAAAATAGATTCTGATATAGATTCTTTGTTTCTGATATTTCTTTGTTTAAAGAACAAAGAAACAAAACAATAAAAACAGGTTTTATTTACCTTCTGTTTGTTGTTTCAATAAAACCCTCTGGATCCTCCTCAGACCAAACGCTGGTCCTGGATAATGTATAACAAACTACGGGGGGAATTTTGTTCCATTATTGTTGCAAACAAAAAACCTCAAATTAAAATCTGAGAAATTTTACTTCTTAATAATAGCAAAAGATTTTGTGAGTAATGGCACTGTTTTCTTAGATCTGCTTTTTAGAAATTATTTAGTTTTAAGAAATATATATATATATATATATATATATATATATATATATATATATATATATATATATATATATATATATATATATATATATATATTCTTTTTTTTTTTTAGATGCACAGAAAACTTTTTTTTTTTTTTTTCAAATTTAGTTTTTTGAATTGCATTATTTTGAAATTGCATATCACAGGCCAACTACTCCTCACTTCAGGGGGCGGGCTTTACTCTGCAAAGATGCTTTTCTATTGGTTGTCAAGGGCCTAAGCAACTACATTTTTATTGGTGCGTGTACGCATCAACACCAAATGTTTTTATTGGGCTCAAAGTAAAAAAAGACCCAATTTGAAAATAAAAAATATGAACACAAATTAAAAAAAAATTATAAATATTAGTTAAAAATAAAATAATTTGAAAAAATAGAAAGTCTAATAAAAAATTGATTTGAAAGGGTTTTTTTTTCTCACAGCCGTTTGTGTCTTTTACAAAGTGTAATTTTTTTCCCCCAAAATGAGTTAGTTTCTTGCAACAATAACGGAACAAGATTCTCTCCATTACAAGCTTTGGTTGTTGTGTTTGTATTCATATAAAACCTCTGGTAAAAACGAGCCACGAGTGAGAGGAGTGGTCGTCCTAGACTTTCTAATAAAGATGGTCTCTGATGTCTTCATGCAGGAGACAGTTATTCCAGGATGGTGTTTGCTTCGGCTGAGGGGAAAAGCTTGTGGAACATTCAGGCCATCAAGTCGATGTGCAACCAGGACATCAGCAGAGTGAGTCCACAGAGCGGAGGAAAACTTCCTCCTCACATGCATGTTAGCTTGGTTTGAACATGTTTTTAATCCTGTGTTTCTCCCAGGTGCGCTCCCACCGGGATTATCTGAACCTCTGTCAGCGCACGAACAACGTCTCCTGCTGCCCCAGTTGGACTCTGGGTAATTACATAGCCGTCATGGCCAACAAGTCGTCCTGCCAGAAGATCACAGAGCGGGACGTATCCCACACGCTCAAGATCCTGCGATCGTGCGCCAAGTACTACCACAACGGCACGCTTGGGCCGGACTGCTGGGACATGGCGCTGCGGCGCAAGGATCAGCTGAAATGTGGCAACGTGCCGAGGAAGTGCACCAAGTACAACGCCGTGTACCAGATCCTCCACTTCCTGGTGGACAAAGACTTCCTGGGCTCCAAGAGCCCGGAGCACCTCCCCGTGCTCAAGTACAGCATGCTGTTCTCCCCCACAGAGAAGGGAGAGTCCATGATGAACATTTATCTGGACAACTTTGAGAACTGGAACTCTTCCGACGGCATCACCACGGTGACAGGGATCGAGTTTGGAATCAAACACGACCTTTTTCAGGACTACCTCCTTACTGACACCTTGTACCCAGCAATCGCCATAGTTATAGTGCTAATGGTCATGTGCGTGTACACGCGCTCGGTCTTCATCACTCTGATGACCATAATCGCCATCATCAGTTCGCTGATTGTGTCCTACTTCCTGTATCGGATGGTTTTTAACTTCGAGTTCTTCCCTTTCATGAACCTCACCGCCCTCATCATCCTCGTAGGGATCGGCGCCGATGACGCCTTCGTGCTCTGCGACGTGTGGAACTACACCAAGTTTGATAAACCTCACGCAGAGTTGTCCGAGACGGTCAGCGTGACCCTGCACCACGCCGCCCTCTCCATGTTCGTCACCAGCTTCACCACTGCCGCCGCTTTCTACGCCAACTACGTCAGCAACATCACCGCCATCCGCTGCTTCGGGGTCTACGCCGGCACTGCCATTTTAGTCAACTACATCCTGATGGTGACGTGGCTGCCTGCCGTAGTGGTGCTCCACGAGCGCTACCTGCCCAACCTGCTCACCTGTTCCAAGCCTGAACAGCAGCAGGGAGGCTGCTTCACGCAGTCCTTCTGGGCCGCTCTCTGCCACAAGATCCACAGAGGCCTGTTCGCTATCTCCGAGGCGTCACGGATCTTCTTCGAGAAGGTGCTGCCCTGCATCATCATCAAGCTGCGCTACCTCTGGCTCTTCTGGTTCCTCGCCATCACGGTCGGTGGAGCTTACGTGGTTTGCGTGAACCCAAAGATGAAGCTGCCATCCCTGGAGCTGGCGGAGTTCCAGGTGTTCAGGTCGTCTCACCCTTTCGAGCGCTACGACGCCGAATACAAAAAGCTTTTCATGTTTGAGAGGGTGAATCACGGCGAGGATCTCCACATGCCCATCACCATCATCTGGGGGGTCACACCCGAGGACAACGGAGACCCCCTGAACCCCAAGAACAAGGGGAAGCTGATGTTAGACAGCAGCTTCAACATAGCAAGCCCAGCATCTCAGCTGTGGATCCTCAACTTCTGCCAGAAGCTGAGGAACCAGAGCTTCGTCTTTCAGTCGGAGGATCAGGACTTCACCAGCTGCTTCATCGAGACGTTCAAACAGGTCAGCAGCACATCTCCTACACACCTTACGCACATCTGCAGTCTTTCTACTGTCAGTCTGACTAGAAAAGATGGGGAATCAAATGCAGCTGCAGAGATGTCATTGTTGAAAGATAACTGTGAGCCAGACGTCCAGGGAGAAGCTCCGGCCACCAAATGAAATGATTTGGCCTTCATTCAAAACTCTAAGGTTGATAGGAATAGGAAATAGGAAAGGTTGATAGAAAATCACCATGAGCTTACAGTAGTAGCCATTCACAATTCAGAATTTCCCCACTTTTCTTGATTCCTTTTCTAAATTCTTAGGGAAGTTATATTTAAATGTCAAATCATTCTGTCTTAAACATGTATATAAATGCACTCTTTATCGGACAATATTGTCCCAAAATTTAGAAATTTCTATAAAAAAAAAAATCCTGTCTAAAAATCTCGGGTTTTTTTCCTTATCTTCTGCAGGCCAGTTAGTTATACGTCAGCCTCAACAGACATCTGTCAATCAAATTTTTTCGGTCATAGCATCTTGATTCATATGTTGCAGCTAATATACGCAACAGTTGAAATCAGAATCATTTCCTTTCCCATTGAGTTGCGTCCCAGTGTTCACAGGGATGGACGTCTGTGTCTTCAGCAGGCGTAGAGCTAACAGAACTGGCAGCGTTGCGAGGCAAGGGCTCAAACATGTACGGCTGTAAGCCTTCTACACCAAACCAAGCTTCTGCCGCCCTGGCGTCCTCTTCCACAAGATCTTCGTCCTGCTTTCCTCCTCTAAATAAAAAATGTGTTATGGAGGAGACTCATCCTTTGTCCATAGCGTTCCTTGACAGTGTCGTTTCTAAGTCACCAATTTAGTGCTACTTCGTCCCTATGGAATTTCCCATTGGGAACCTACTAGCACTAAGTTGCTAACCGGTTAGCAAGATGCTTCCAACAAACCGGCCACAACCAAACATGATTGCGAACCTTCCGCTACAAAAATCCCGCCCTCTTGATAAACGACCAATCACATTCACTTTATTCACTTGTGTAAAGTCGTGCACCACTTGGGAGAATTCGGAAATGCAACGGTTGGAAAAGCCGCTTCCCTACGACTTTAAGCATCAATCTTTGTACTAAAATATTCTTTCCATCATTATTTGTGGACATTAAGTTCTAAATAGAAGCGCCCTCTCCTGGTCAGACCCTGTAATTCAGTGAAAGGGTGGAGTCAGAGTAAAAAAATTATGCACGCCCAGGAGAAGGAGGGGGTCACTCCAGAGGCTGGAAGTTGGCTGCCATTCGGCTGGGAAGGGCCATTTTGGATGGCTGCTGTACTGTACTGTCCAATCAGAGGCAAGCTGGAATATCAGTGGGGATGCTCGGCAACATTTAAACGGGTCAGGCAAAGAACACATTTTCTAAATGGAAGTTTGAAAAAATAAAAGGCACTCCAGAAATTAAACTTTAAAAAACTCTTTGGTAAAAAAAAAGAACTTCGCTGTTTTTCTCGGGTTACATTTTTTTGTTTTCAAAACAAAATTTCATTTAATTTTTTTATGATTTTTTTTTAATCCCTTATAATAAATAAAAAATAAAAAGGAAATATAAAGAGGCACTATGGGCTTTTCAGATGAAACAGAATTGCAGCACTCTCATTTATTTAATTTTTTTGTACTTTTTTTCACCATACACGGAGTTGCCGTTGGTGTCTGAGTTGAGCCGGGTGCTGTCCGCTTCTTAGTATCCTTAAAATCTGTCTTGAATATAATGTTTTGATTGTTTGCTGGGTCGAACCCGAAGTACATGAACTACTGTGGTGTCAGTCTGCCAATAAAACCCTCTTTTAATTCAGTTCAGTTTATTTATATAGTATATAATTAACAACATATCATCTCAAGGCACTTTACAATTCAACCAGATCATACAGTCAAATTGATTCAAAATTTCTGTATAAGGAAAACCAGTTGATTGCATCGACTCATGTACTCGAAAACAATCCCTCAAACTAAGCATGCTTGTAGCGACAGTGGAGAGGAAAAACTCCTTTTCAAGGAGACGGAAACAGACATAGAAAAAGAAGCAGAGATACAGAAGCGGAGATACAAAAGGCTTCTGTCAACCAGCCCCACAGGCAGCCCCGTCCAGGAAACACACAGCCATGTAGAGGAGCACATCCAGCCAGTCACACTCAGAGAAACAGGACTACACTGAAAAACAGGCTGATCTCCAACATATATATATATATACAGTTCGGACGGTTTTCATAAATCGTCCCATCCCTAATCGTCCCATCCCTAATATATATATATATATATATATATTAGGGATTGGACGATTTATGAAAACCGTCCGAACCGTTCGGTTCGACTGTCTCGGTTCGGTTCGCGTGTGTTTCGTTCGGTTCATGCGCGGCTCCTTTTTCTCATAGGCGAAGCGTTTACACTCCAGAGCAGAAGGTGGCGGTACTGCGACCAAAGCCAACCACCAGTTGTAAACAAGAAGAAGAAGAAGCGAAGCAGCGTAGCCGGGTGTAGCAGGGAAAAAAAATCAGTTGTTGTGGAGAATTGTGAGGGTATGGCGAGTGGGAAAGAACAGGAGTTGGAAGACGCGCCAGCAGCACTTTATAGGTCTGCTGTATGGGAGCGCTTTGCATTTAGAGTGACCTACGATGACGGCGGAAAGAAAGTTGTGGATAAAAGTGCAACACGTTTTGTTTATGCTAACAGCAACATGTCATGCTAATCCCACATACTCCATCAGCGCTCCGCCCCGCTGCGCTCCAGACCGGCTGCTCAAAGCAAAGCTACAGCCCCCACTGTGGCTCCCGACCGCTCCGCTCTGAGTCCCTTGGAGATGGTAGAGAGCATGCGCGAGATGATTAAATTCAAAGCAGCAAAACATACGGAAATGATCCAGGGTTTCCGCGGATCATTTAAAATAATTACAATCCATTATTTTTTGGTGGATTTTTTCATTAATTTCATACATTTTTATGGGATTTCGGTGTAACAATCAACATGTACCGAATCGAACCGAACCAAAAACCGTGACCACGAAACCGTGAATCGAACCGAACCGTGGATTTTGTGAACCATTCCACCCCTAATAGATATATATAGATATATATATATAGCAGCAGAACAGCTGATATTTCTCTCCAGGATGGTGTCACACCCAGACAGGAACAGACGAGGCAAAGCTACTATGAGAAAAAGGAGAGAGAGCATAATGTTAGAGATGGAATTAACAAATTCTACAGAAGGGGAGAATAGAGATAGAATAATGAAAAAGGTGACCCTATGTCCTCCAGCAGCCTAATCCTATAGCAGCATAACTACAGAGATAGCTCAGGATAACCTGAGCCACTCTAACTATAAGCTTTATCAAAAAGGAGAGTTTTAAGCCTACCCTTAAAAGTAGACAGGGTGTCTGCCTCAATGACACCCTGTTTGTGAGGCAGACATAAAGGGAAAAATATAAGGGCTATTAGGCTGTTGTAAGATATTTTCCTGTAAAAACCTACATAATGTTTACATAAGATGAATATCTAAAGTGTCTAATTTGTCTTTAAATTATTCAAATCCAGATTATTAATCTGTTTATTGAAAAAGCTGTCAGCTAATTAACCAATTAGAAAAATAGCCTTTAGTTGCATAAATGTGTATCAAAATGCACCTTATTAATGATGTTACACATTTTTTTTAAGTTTGCATTGAGTAGGGTTAATTTTCCAAAACTATTTTTAGATTTATTATTTGTTAATCAAAAAGGGAAACAGATTACTTTACTATCCAATAGCTGCAGGTTTAATTGAAGTAAGAGGCGTCTATTTTTTCTTGCAGAGGAGAGTTTTTAAGATCCATTGTTTTTATCCATCACATCTAATCCCTGTAAGAGGTTAAAGGCGTCACTGAGCAGCTCGCTAACCGTGTGACTTCTGCTGCTCTAACAGTGGATGGAGAACCAGGACTGTGAGGAGACGTCCGTCTACCCCTGCTGCAGCCAGTCCACCTTCCCCTATAAGAAGGACGTTTTCCAGCTGTGCATCAAGAGGGCCATCATGGAGCTGGACCGCAGCACCAGCTACCACCTGGACAGCAAGACGCCCGGACCTCGCTTTGACATCAACGACACCATCAGAGCCATCGTCCTGGAGTTCCAGAGCACCTACCTCTTCACGCTGGCGTATGAGAAGATGTACCAGTTCTACCGTGAGGTAGGACCTGTTGGACTAGGCGTTCCTCCTGACCGTGTGTAGTGATGTCATACGCTAACCTGGTCTCTGGGTTTCAGGTGGACGCCTGGATCACAGAGGAGCTACGCTTCGCCCCAGAGGGCCTGAGCCACGGCTGGTTCGTCAGCAACCTGGAGTTCTACGACCTCCAAGACAGCCTGTCGGGTGGCACTCTGGTTGCCATGGCGCTGTCCGTGGCGGTGGCGTTCAGCGTCATGTTGCTGACCACCTGGAACGTCATCATCAGTCTATACGCCATCTTTTCCATCGCAGGGACCATTTTCGTCACGGTGGGCTCGTTGGTCCTCCTGGGCTGGGAGCTGAACGTCCTGGAGTCCGTCACCATATCCGTCGCCGTGGGGTTGTCTGTGGACTTTGCCGTCCACTACGGCGTCGCATACAGACTGGCCCCGGAGCCCGGCCGCGAGGAGAAGGTCATCTTCTCCCTCAGCAGGATGGGCTCCGCCATTGCCATGGCGGCGGTCACCACCTTTGTTGCGGGGGCGATGATGATGCCATCGACGGTTCTGGCTTACACCCAGCTGGGGACGTTCATGATGCTGATTATGTGCATCAGCTGGGCGTTCGCCACCTTCTTCTTCCAATGCATGTGCTGCTGCCTCGGCCCCCAGGGGACCTGCGGCCAGATCCCCCTCCCCAAGAGCATGCAGTGCCAAGCCTTCAGTGAAGACACGCCCCCGAGCCCACCTGCAGAGGGGAAGTACCAGCTGGAGGGCAGGGGGGGCGAGGCAGAGCACTACGAGCTGGAGCCGCTGGCCTCCTCTCAGAAAAGCTCAGAGAAACCAGAGGAGGAGGAGGAGGAGGAGGAGCGGTGCATCCAGCTGTGTAACGGCGCCCCCCCCCATCCCATCCCACATGTTCACAGCTCTGATTCACACCCAGAAAACAGGCGGGTCCCCACACCCAGCGCCCCATCCAGGTGCCAGTTCCCTTACAGCTGTGCCTGTCTGGACCCGCCGCCGCCCCTCCACCTGTCGGGTCAAACCGCCGCCCTGTTGGCTCCAAACCTGGAGCCCATCTATCCACACATGGACTGCTGCGTTCACTACATCCGCTGCCCGCTCACTCACTTCCACCACTGCTCACAGGGAGGAGCGGCCGCCCCCACTCAGGGACCCAACTGCCCTCTCAGGAAGTACTGCACCCACCCAGCATCCAATCAGGACCCTGACCAGGCTTCAGGACCCGCCTCTGCTCCACAGACTGCTGACAAAGAAACCAGACATTTAAATCCTGACGCCGGTCAGAACGGGAACTCCCAACCAAACGGCCGCTGTCCCGGCCTCGCCATCATCAACACCGACAGCAATAATGGTGGTAAAGTCCCACCGATGGACCTGGAGAGGCCTGGAAGTATTCCCGTCACACGGGAGCAGAGCGCCGACCGGCGCAAACGGACCTCTAGGAGAGAGCGGACGTCCTCCGCCTCCCCAAAGAAACTCTCCTGCTTCAACAGGACTTTGAAAGTGAAGTGCAATTCAGCGTCAGAGTTCCATGTGCCTAAAAGTCAAGGCGGCGTGCCCCCTGTGGCGGTGAACACTCAGACCTTCTCTGAAAGCCTATGCTGACAGAAAGAGACAACACACATTTCTGTGCAATCGTCTTAGATCCTGGATTCTACCTGGGATTTTTTTAACTATGAAATATATTTAGTTTTATACTTTTTTCTCAGCCAGGTGATGTTTCAGATTTAAATGTCTCCATTTTTGCTACTGCAGCAGCCAAGTGTCCCTAGATGGGATCCACAGTCGCATCACAAGTATTTTATTGGGATTATTATGATATAAATCAGCACTAAATTGTCCATCAACATAAAACGTATAAAATTCAGCCCCTCAGGTTAGTGCTAGATCTAGAACTAGTAGAACCAGCATCTCATGTTCGTATTTTAGGGGGAAATATTTGTTGAATACCATCCATTAACGTATCTCCCAGTTTTTCCACCGATTCATATCTGGATGTTTAGTCTGGGCTTTGACTAGACCGTTCTAACTCAGCTCCGTTAAATCCCAACAAAATACTTTTGGAATGTGACGATGTAAACCTTTTCAAAGCCTCGTTTGAGCACTTCTGTTAACGACCTTAACTGTGTGCCATTTTTCACAAGCTGCTGAACGTTACGTGTCGTCTTGTTCTGGATCTAGGAGCCCCCGTTCTCCATTTGCTCCAGTCTCCACACGCCTAAAAGCTGCACTGTGTGATTAAAACATTCTGTCTGACCTCCATCATCCTGTGGCTGTTTGCTGTCCAGGAATATAAAGTGAAGAGTTGAGATGATAATAAAGGACGGTGCCCTTCAGCTCTGATGCTTCATCTTCATTTGTTGTAAGCCTGCTTAGCCATGCCAGTTTTATTAAATACCCATGTATGCGATCGCTGTTGCTTTCTAGAGGAGGATCAAGTCCAAATCCGTCACAGGTCCTTCATCCGATCAATAGATGGATAAAAACATCCCTCCCTTCCTCTCCTGACAGGCAGGCTCTGCTGCAGCAGACAGCTTTAATTACACGGAGACGGCGCTCTGGCACAGAGCAGCCAGGAACCGAGCCGACTGCCGTCACTGGTGGTTTGCTGCTCAAATTCATTTATATTATAAATGAGTTATGCTTTTAGAACGAGGGGAAAAAAGGCAAAGCTGGAAGGAAATCTGCCGTTTGACTGTAATGCCTTTGAAGGAAGTTTTTTTTTTTTTATGTCTGCTTTGTTTCTTCATCGTCTCGGTGCTTGAAATGTGTACAAAGGATCTGAACCTCAGGAGGCAGCGCAGGGAGAGGGAAATCCACCTTTACCGGTGGATTTATGATGATTATGGTTCCCTGCTCCTGCAGCTCCGATAGTAACTATCTCACCGGTGTCGGGGTTTATTCAGTAGGATGTAGTTTTTGACTTCTCAGTTTTATTTAGCCTCTTTTTCCAAACTTTGAAAGGATTCTCCAACCACTCTACATCCTGGATGGGATTTTTCCACGCCGCGTCCTTCTCACCGATCCCGTTTGAGGTGTTCATGGGCTGCAGCTCAGGGCGTAATAGAGCATTTTTACTGATGTTGTCGCCTTCGTTATGGCGTCAGGACGCCTTCTGGTTGCCTTACTGTGTGGTTTTGGACGCATCCTGTTAGGAGGAGAACGCAGGACAGAAGAGACAGAGTATCTCCCCTGACAGCAGAATGTTTATCTTTAGGACTTTTAACCCTTAACTAATCAGTGACGTCTTCTTTTACGCAGGAAAACAGAATAAACGTTCCTCTATCCTGAAATCTGTGGAGGAAAGGAAAGAAAAGCACCTCTTTAATCCGACATCCACCACAAAGCAAACTGACACACAAACAGGTCCTAGAGAACACCTTCCATAAGTTAACGTCTTCCTGATGCCTTTTGAAGGAAACATCTAATTTAGGCGCAGTAGCTCCAAAGAAGACGGCTCCTCTCCTCCACTGATCCCTCCTCCGCTTTTCATCAGCATCCCTGTAATTATATTTGCTTAAATGGAGGTCAAATATTAGCTGTGGCCTTTGGAGCTGGGCTTTTTTATGAGGCAGGTTCTCTCTACCGCCCGTTTGTCTGGTCCGACTGCGACCCACAGGCCTGAAATAGCTGAGAGGAGGCCGCCGAGCTCGGAGCGTATTTACAGGATAAACATTTGCTTCCAATTTTTAAATTACGCTCTGACTGAGCAGCGTTAAATCTGCAGGACAGTTGAGCAGCTCGGTATTTATTTCATGTACGGATCGTTTTGGGTTGACTTCCACATTCTGGAGAGAAAAATGTTCCCTGGAAAAGTCAAATATTACATTAGACAAATAAGAGAAGATCTAATAGAGAGGTGTAGCGTGGCAGGAAGGAGATCAGCCTGTGGTTCTTCTCGTCTGCTTTCTTATTTCTGGTGTCTCATCTTCCTTCTGACAATAGTCCATAGGTTCTCTGCTGGGTTTAAGCCCAAACAATTACACCATTTTATCAGCTAACAGATGCTTCAGTGTTTAACACTGAACTATGAGATTGATTATGCTAAAGCAGAGGAGCAACAGGTTTAAAAAGGAAGTGGTTCTGCAGCAAAATATTTTAGTAATCCTAAAGGAAAATTCATTTCATCCTCTCCATTTCAAAGTTCTTTCTTCTATCCCCTTTCCTGGCTCAACATTCTCGATTTTTCGGTTTCTGTCAGACAATTCTAGACGTTTTGATGCAAAAAAGAAAAGAAATCCACATATTTTGCCTTCATTAAGTCATTGTGGGCTTATTTTTTTTATCCACAAACCAAAAGACAAAGCAATGCAAGTTTCCAAGTGGGAGGGTACTTTTATATTTTGGGCATCTGGAGAAAGTTCTGTTGAAATCTGACGTTTAGAACTAACCAGAACCCTGAATTAAATCTCACTTTTTACTCTGTAATGTAATTCCAATGCTTTGCTTGGCTTCTGTTCAGTTTAAAACTCGGTAGTAAAATCAATCTGCTGTGTGTCGGCCTGTTTTTAAAGGTGAGGATGTTCTAGACGGCTGATCAGCTGGAGTTCACATGTTCTCCCTGTTCAAGTTCGAGTTCTCACCAGGTACTCTGGCTTTGTCATGGTTCACACACAGCTGTTAGGATAACTGGAGAGAGGGAGAAGCCTGAAAGTATGCCGTCTGAGTATTTGAAGGTATTTGTTGGAATATCATAAATATACGTAAAGCATTTCTTTGCCTACAATAATGAATTTGGGGGAAGATTTTCTGGCTACAGACATGTTGACCTCCTCAGCCTCCTGGAAGTTACTTCCAATCTGTCTGCTTTAGCTGGGTCTCTCTACAGGAAGACAAACTGTTTTACTGGCTCCTGTCCTTGTATTTACCTCTTTATAAACTGAAACACTCACTGAGGAAACCGCACTTTCACCACAGATATAAAAAACTGCGCTACAGCAGCAGGCCGCTCTGCTGTCTGGGTTTGAATGTGTTCCCATTAATGGACTGTCCTCAGTGTATATCTGCAGGCTCACCCCGCTAATGTTGAGAGCAGCTGGCTCATAAAAGCTGAGGATGGAGGCGGCCGGGGCCAAAGGGCCGGAAGCTTCCCACTACCCAGTAGCTTCCTGTTTTCAGATGGATGTGGAATGGGAGGAAACCGGCTGACCCATTCAGCTTCACCCAGCTGCTATGCTGCAGCTCGACAGTCCACTCTCTGACCTTATGGGCTGGATTTAACAGCCTCATTAAGTGGATCAGAGGAACTTCTCTGATCAGAAAGCTCTCTAAAACTAACAGGTGGTTGATTTCACTCAAATCCCATATGATGATAATGCAGCTACTGCCATCTAGTGGCTAAAATGCAGAAACTCATCACTTTATTCATTTGTTCCAACCTTTACTGCTTCAGGTTTTATGGCGGCAGTTTGCACTGGATCAGAGTTACTAGGAGGAGCAGAAAGCTTACTGAAATAAATCATTTCTTTCAAAAAGTGACACTCTGGTTTACTCAATATAACCGATTGGATGGATGGATGGAAGGAAGGAAGGAAGAAAAGGAAAGAGAGAAAAGGAAAGAGAGAAAGAGAGAGAAAAAGAAAGAAAGAAGGAAAGAGAGAAAAAGAAAGAAAGAAGGAAAGGGAGAGAAAAAGAAAGAAGGAAGGAAAGGGAGAGAAAAAGAAAGAAGGAAGGAAAGGGAGAGAAAAAGAAAGAAAGAAGGAAAGGGAGAGAAAAAGAAAGAAGGAAGGAAAAAGGAAAGGGAGAGAAAAAGAAGGAAGGAAAGGGAGAGAAAAAGAAGGAAGGAAAGGGAGAGAAAAAGAAAGAAGGAAGGAAAGGGAGAGAAAAAGAAAGAAGGAAGGAAAGGGAGAGAAAAAGAAAGAAGGAAGGAAAGGGAGAGAAAAAGAAAGAAGGAAGGAAGGAAAGGGAGAGAAAAAGAAAGAAGGAAGGAAGGAAAGGGAGAGAAAAAGAAAGAAAGAAGGAAGGAAAGGGAGAGAAAAAGAAAGAAAGAAGGAAGGAAAGGGAGAGAAAAAGAAAGAAAGAAAGAAGGAAGGAAAGGGAGAGAAAAAGAAAGAAAGAAGGAAGGAAAGGGAGAGAAAAAGAAAGAAATCCAAACATATATACATATAGATTGTCTTGGTGTCTTAATTTGTGGATTTAAGTTAATAACCATGAAAAAAAAAAGATTTTTATTTTATTCTTGTTTTCAACTTATACAAAGTTAGCATTAAAGGTTTCATCTATGATATTACAAGGATAGAAAATGGGAATCAAACTTACAACTTTTAAAACTTCAATTACAAATCCCTATTTTACGAGCATGAAAAACTAAAGTTCTACTCCACCTAAAGCTGATAGACTCCCTATGAGAGTCCATCCATCCAAACAGCCATTCACGAACACACCTAAGGGTTTGTTATAGAGAAGCCAATTAACCTAACAGTCATGTTTTTGGGCTGTGAGAGGAAGCTGGAGTACCTGGAGAGAACCCACGCGTGCTCAGGGAGAACATGCAAACTCCATGCAGGAAAACCCTGGGCCAGGAATCGAACTCTAAACCTTCTTGCTGCAAGGCAGCAGTGCTACCCACCGCTCCAATGAGCAGCCAATGAGAGAATCAGGACAGCTTTGCCTCTAATAAAGTCCTTTTCAGTCTTTTTTTTAAACAGCATCAAACTATATTTTAAATGTAAATAAAAGACTTTCTTTTATAAACCCGGATTTATTTCAACACATGAAGAAACCAGTGCAAATGATTTGATAGTTGGCAAAAGGAAAGTACCACCTACTGCTCTTTATCCAGCTTCAAACATCATACAAGGTTAAACGTTGTGTCTATCTGTGGCTCTATTATTGCATGTTTTTGCATTTTATTTTTGTTTAGTTATCTTTTAGTCTTTGAACCAAAAGGAAATAATTTATATTATTTAACAAAACTGGTTAAAGTTGAAGTGCTGTGTTGGAGCTTATGTTCACAAACATCCAGAGTGCAGTGACGTGCGGTGAGGTTCATAGCTGGTGAGGCACTGACGTCATCAGAATCAGATTTGCAAATAGATGCATAGATTGACAGCAGTTTACAGGTTATGTTTCACTTCTGCATCCTTACACATACAAACTGTAGCTCACAAAACACACATTTCCTTAAAAAACAAAACAAAATAAATGTTATTACTGTCTTACCTTTACTTATAAATGAATAGAAGTCCTCCTTATCTTCCTTCAGTTTTAAAAGTCTCTCTGTCTCAATGGAGATCACTGCCAGGGAAGAAAGCCTTCCTTGATCCGTCCTGTTCCTGCCTTATGTTTTCAGTCTCTTGAGCACCCCCTGCCATGAGGCAAGAGAACTGCCTGCCTCACCTCGAACTTGTTCTCTGCCGTTTATAATCGCTCATTACACGAAACACGTTACACAAACACAGTTGGTGACAAAAAGCTCTGTACATTATATACATAAGCCAAATTATTAGAAATAAGTTCACATATTACATTTGTTTAAACCATTTTATTGACGCCGTACAGCAACATGCTCTCTCCGCTTTGCAGCCAGCGCAGAGCCAGGGGTTGCGCAATCCAAGGTGAGGCAGAGCTCGCTGCTGCCTCACCGGCATCGCTTCCAAGCATTTGAATGGGAAAATAAGAAAATTCAGCGATTTTGAACAAATAAAAATCGAAATTGGTGAAGCTACATGAAAAATGAATATTTTTTAGTACAAACCACCGGATGAATATAACAATTTAAATTACTTTATGATTATATATTTTCTTTCTTTCCATGATGGCTGGTGAGGCACTGCCTCACCTGCCTCCCCTGACCGCACGTCACTGCCAGAGTGTGGAAAGACAGAGAGACGGTCTGAGTGTATTGATGAGTCAAATGCCTTGATGGTGCCCACACAAAACTTCAGGTGTTTTTAACTTTAGATTTGGGGTAAAACATCAAAGCTGTTCCAGTCAACTGGTTCTAGTCCTGAGTCACTGGGGTAAAGGTCACGAGTCCTCGAATTGGTCCTTACTAGTTGGTGGTTAGACACCTGAACATCTTTTTTTAACCACCATTAAGTAAGACCATCAAATTTACCAGCAATCCAGGTTTTAACTCACTTGTAATGTCATAAAATCCTTTTATATTTTGTACAGGCAACTTTCCAGGAGAGATGAATTTATTCATTAACTGCATCAGGGTACTGGACATTTGATGGACAGCTGGACAGACTGTCTTTACCCCAGGCTGTTCAGCGTCCCTGATAGTGTGCTTGAGGCGGCCTGTTTCGTAATATCATATAGCCATACAGTCTGATACAGTGAGGGCCCCACTGCAAACACACAGTTCAAAGATCTGGCATATATATGCCCAAAAAAACCTGTATTGCCCAACCTGTCATAATCATCCGAAGGGTCTTCTGACTATACTCTTAATTTTATTACATTTTTAAAATTTGGCTTCATTTATAAATTACACAATAAACAAGTCAATGCCAGTCATATATTAAGACATACAGGAGAAAACAAATAGAGAAAAATAAATTAACATAATTTGTCAAGAACATATTTTCTTTTGGTTTTGAAGTTCCTTTTTTGGGATGTATTATTTAGGGTCTGTTTGCACTCAATCTTTGATCAAAGAGCACGTCTCTGCTTCCTGAACAGCTGATTGGCCGCTGGGTGGAGCGTTTTCTACGATTCAGATCGCTACGGATGAATCCAGCTTGGTGGAACCGGAAATTCAGGGTTAAACCTGAAGTTGGACGGCTAACCCAGTAATCCTGCTTCGAGGTTCAGGCCTCTGGACTAAGGGCATTTGTAATGAATTGTAGATTGTTTTTAAATGCTTTTCAAAAAAACAAAACAAAATATTTGTCAACTGTTTTTTTTTTTTATAGAAAACTTGATTGTATTGAAAAGTCCATCACATAATATAAAACTTTAAACTTCATGTTTTGCAAAGTTTTAAAAAATATCAGTAGCTTGGTAAACGGAGTGCTGATGTAAACTGGACCAACTTCATCTTCCAACAGTAACAGATTTAGCAGTTGGCTACTTGAAACGAGCTGCTTGGCACCACAGACTAGCCCTTACCATGATGCACCCCACCCATGCAAACTCTAGTGGAGTTTTTGAGACAGGCATTTCTTGCAAAAAAAAAAAAAAAGGTTCGAATTTATTTAACGTCCTCAGCCGTAGAGATGGAGCTCTGACTGAGGCAACCTCAGTAAATACATTTATACTTTACAAAATCCCGACACACACACTCCCCCCAGGGGAACCAACCCACCCCCCTGCATAAAGAACTATCTCACACTTGAACATTTGGAGGAAAAACAACGTGAGTTCATCAAGGCCATCAAGAACAGACATACCTCAACATTTTTTACTCCACACTTTCCAGATCACATTCTACTGGAATATTCTAACTTATAGCTTGTGTCGGCAGAAAGAAATGCATATTACACTATTCACAGTATTATAGGCAGATGGGTTGTTATAACTGGTCCAGTGAGTAGAGACGTCCGTCACTGCCTTAGAAACACATCCCTGTTGGAGAAAAGGTTAAAAAAATGTTAAATGAAAGAAAGGAAATGTCATACATTAAGCTCAAGCCTTTCTATCTTGTCTTTACACTAATTTCAGCCTTATTTAAATGTTTGATCAATTCATTGAAGGGAGTTTTAAGTTTCAGTGGTTGTTACCTTCAGCTTACCTTTACATTGTTTATTTAGTCAACGGCTGCAATGTTCTTGAGCTCAATCTCCCCATCAGGAGGTCGACCTTCGGGATCCGCAGGTTCCGGCTTCTCTATGTCAAACTTCTTCACCTTGGTGTCTCTGAGGATCAGTGAGACGAGGCGCTCATAGAACCACTGCAGGTCCTGAGGGTCCTCAGGCCAGGTGAGGTACTCTCTCTTCTGGACAAAAGTTCGCACTGCGTTGTACCTCATCAGCTGGTAGGGAGCAACCTTTGGGTTTGGCACAAGCAGATGGCACAAGTCTCAACAGCAAATGGAAGTGAGGTTCAGTACAATATATCTTTTAAATTAAATGATGTGCAACCACTGCTCGCTTGCTATAATAGCACTTATATACACAAGACCAATGTACAATGATTTAACGGTTGACTTATTGAAATAAGCTGTGACCAATGACAACACCTACTAAGCAATCTGACTAACAGCCTTCTGACTTGTTTTCAGTGCAACTTGAGTTGTTTGGAAACACAAGCAAGAAAGTACTAAGCATAATACAAGATCAATGTAACTGTTAGTAATTATATTAAAAAAAAAAAGAAATCCATCCCAGTTGGTACTATATAAAAAGGCGCCTAACAATCTGCATCGATACCCAGCTTGCTTCTGATAAAATAGAAGGAGCATAATATCAGCACATGGGATGATCACCCTCCAGTGAGAGTTTGAGTGAAAATCAAGCTTTCTGCAAGCTGAACTCGTTCACCATACATCGCGACTAGACGAAGTCCCTGATTAGTTAATGTAGCACAAATTGTATGAAAACTTCAGATTTCAGAACTCCAGCAGAATTTCGCTCTGCTCTATCTGCAGTTTGCTCTAATCGCCCAACTTGCAGCGTTTGTGTTGCTCCACTAGTGTCCTTCCTACCGTTAGACAGAACATGCCTTTACATAGGGCAAACATGTAAATCAATAGCCACATTCATTGCTTAAGAGTCGCGGGTTGGAGGGAAGGATCTGTGATAATGCTTCTTATTGTACCAAGGGTCTAGTAGTCTTTCACTGAAGGAGCTCTCCACCAGCATCATACTTTTTTCAATACAAACACCTCAAATAATTTTTCAACATTCTTCTAATTAAAGAAGGCGCTCATGTATACTGTGATCAAGTAGGTCCTGTTAATCCAATTTGTCAACACCGTATACACACCTTCCCTACCACCAACATAATCAGGACGTTGGTCAGTTCCTCCAGCAGGCGTCCCTGGGCTAAAGTGAAGGCCTCCAAGCACCAGCCATCTGCAAAGAGGAATAAATGTCTTTATTTGTATAACCAGAAGCAAATTGCAGCAAAACAACAGCCAAACTCTGGTAGCTAATAGGAGTGTAAATCACACCCATCATGGCGATTCAATTCAGTATCGATTTCCTGACCCAACAATTCGATTATTTTCGATACTCAAGAATACACCACGATTCAATTCGATTAGTTGCTTTTTCCCCCTTACAGGCTAGACAATGTTTCAAATTTGAAATAAATTAATGAAAGCTGTAATATCGTTATGCATTTTTTTTTAGAAACAAAAGCAAATAAAAGAAGTAGAAAAGTTGCACTCCACCTATTCCTATTAAAACCTAATTTACTGAAAAATAATAATACTCCTGCGTTATAGATTCTGAAAGGCCTTGCATCATAAAATACGGCACAAAATCATTGCAATGAGTGCAATTCAATACCTTGGCTCCAGACGTCCCCGCCCCCTCCACAGACGCTCCGCTGCAGCTCTCCCAAATTGTAGCTGACCGCAGACAGGAGGCCGGCTTGTTTTGTTTTTATGACCGAAATTGCGGAAAACAACTCGTTAAGTTTGACCCGCTAGAACAGCGAGGTGCGCGAGAATGCTGGGACCCTTTTTCCACCTGGACCTCCGCTCTTTTTGGCCCTCATGTCCCTCAGTCGTCGGACTAAACTCGCCCCCACTTCCTCTCCGCCTCGGCCGTATCTAGACCCGCAGTTTGTAGCTCAGACCACGCTTCCATATTGAGCATAAATCAAAAATGTCTGTGTCAAGCTTACTGCAACACACTGCTTTAAGAGTATAACCAGGAAGCGAGGTAGGAGGGCAAAAAAGGTTTAGCGCCACCGCAGCACGGGAGGGAGAATTACGCCCAGGAGCAAATGGATAAAAATAGAACAGAGGAAAAAAAAAAAATTAATCGATTCTCTTGCGGACGTAGCGATGCATCGGACCGTCAGCTGTTGGAGCGATGCATTGATACAAAACGGTTATTATTTACACCCCTAGTAGCTAACATGCTAACCTCTAAAAGACGAGACTGCTAAAGGGCGTCTTGTACATAACTCTAATAAACAAAGCAATAAATCCATTGAGCTTTGTTATAGATAAGAAATATACCTAACTTTCATCCAAAATTTACATAAAAAAGCACCTTTAAGGAACTCCTTGGAGACGATGCACAACGTCTTTCTGCTGCTCCAGATGGCATCCCTGATGTTTGAGAGGTGATCCTCCCCAGGCAGGAAGTCTCTGGCCTCAAAGCAGCAGTGGAACAGGTTCTCCTCTGAAAACTGCTTATCCAACTTCTCCAGCAAGGCAGCTTCCACCCAACTGTAGTCGCTGTTGCTGAAGCACAGGAAGGCATCGTACTGCCAGTCCTTCTCAGTGGTGGGGGGTTTGGGACCCTCAAGAACCCTGCCGACTATCTTTTTGTAGATGAAGAATATTTGACCTCGGAGGCGGGCGTAAATGATCCCCCCGAGTACAAAGCTGAAAACGAGGCTGACAGATGACATGAAAAGAGCCAGCCGAAGAGCCTGTACAGTCTTTTCCTCATCCTCACATGGCTCCATGATACTAGAAAATTCCAGCAGGGGAATGTTGTGGACAGAAGCTGGGAACTTGCATCTGTATTCCTGGACTGGGCTCCGGAAGGTGACATTGGTCGTGTTAAGCCAACTCAGGAAGCTATCCAGAGAGCAGTAACAGTGGAACCGATTTCCTGCAAGGTCAAGGTGGATGAGAGAGTGGAAAGTCATCGGATTGGGAGTAGCTAGGAAGTTGTTTGAAAGGTCGAGCCATCTCAGGCTGGCTGGGAAAACACTGGTCTCCAAATAGGTCAGGGCATTAGATGAAAGGTCAATTGTATCAACTGAAGTTAGACCACTAAAGATCCCATGAGGGAGAGCCATTAAGGAGTTGAGACTGATATTCAAAGTGAGCAAATTCTGGAAATGTTCAAATATGTCAAGGCATTTGCCTTGTGCCCAAGCATTCTGCAGGGAACAGCCATGAAGGTCCAACACAATCAAACTACTATTACCAGGCATGGAGACTACAGCATTTATTGTGCACCACAAAATGGGGTTGTCTCCATGTAAAAGGTAAACCAGATGCCTGAAATGAGTCAAGACAATGTAAACGTTCTCCAGGTTTGTTAATTTGTTTCCTGAAATATCTAAATAGATAACGTTGTTCCATGAGCTAAAGATGGGGTAGAGGGAATCCAACTTATTGTCTCTGAGGAGAAGGAAGTTTAAGTACGGTAGAGCAGCAGGAGACCCCAGCAGCCGCAGAGAGTTTCCCGTTAGATATAAATGATGCAGCTGGGGAAGACCGCTAAAGGCCTTGTACCCTAGTACACCAATGTGGTTGTGAGATAAGTCCAAAATAAGCAGTTCTGTTAGACTGTTGAATGTGTTGGAGCGGATCTCTCCTAACAGATTGAAGGACAGATTAAGTTTGTATAAATTTGTTTGCAGACCAAAGAAGGCGTTTTTCTCAATTATATTTACTTTGTTCTGCGAAATATCAATACTATTTGCATTTCTCAGAGGCCTAAAGACTTTTTCTTTTAGAGCAAAAATCCTGTTCCCTGACAGATCTAACTCAATGACTGAACTGTCCATGAGGCCTACAAATGTGTCATTATCTGGATCTGCAATGTTCTCATGGGAAAAGCCTTTTCCAAGACCATTAGAACATTTCAGATGAGCAATAGGAGTCCCCCTGATCGCTCTAAAAAACTGTTTTAATTTTTCCAAATTCATTCCATTTCCAGAGATATCAAGCCTATTGAAGGTTATCCCCCTGAAAGGGTTTCCACAGGTCGACCAGTCAACATTGGATCCAAAGAAACTGTTGGACGATAAGTCCAGACTCTGAAATGATTTCCCCCTGAAGCCAACTAAGTCCCCCTCACATATTTTCTCAAGAGAGTTTAGTTCAAGAGTTAACACAGAGAACCTGGTGAGATTAAAAAAGAAACGACCGGGAAGGAGTCTCACTATCTTGTTCCCGTAGAGGTTGAGCCTGTTTAATGACAGAAGTGGTTCCAGGTAGTTCTCTTTCAGTATGGAGTCAGTCAGGGAACAGTGATCCAGCCAGAGGTCTAGTAAACTGACCAGCCCCACAAACGCCTGTGGTTCCAGCGTCAGACCCAAATTGTCTCCAAGAACCAGTAGAGTCAACTTTCTCTGCCTGAGAAAGGAGTCGTTCCTGATTGTTAGGACTACTTCCCGTTGGCTCCCCAAGTCTAATTCCTGGAGTTCCTCTAAGTCTCTGAAAGAAGTCCTGTTGATCTCTTGGATGTGGTTTCTGTCTAAGTACAAATGGGTGGTGTTGGGGGGCAGTGCTGGGACCCAGCGGAGTTTCCGGGCGGCGCAGTAGACTTTCTGACCCGATAGCTGGCATAATGGATGGCATGTTGTTAGCTGCAGGAAGAAAAGATGAGTTCATTTAGAGAATTAAGTAGCTGAATATTTCCTTTTCCCAGACTGCTCAAATGTTTATAGTTTTTAACAAAACTGAAGATAAAATGAAAAATTTTACAAAATCTCCTTAATGAATACATTATAACCAATATATCTACAGATAAGGTTAATTATTACCTTTTTTTATCTATTCATCTGTCTCTGCATTGTGATTGGCCCGCCAGTTCTAGGGCCTGAGCCATTGATCGAGGCTAGACCACTTGAGGGGAAAAATGATTTTGGCCACTGGCGCGAGGGTCTAGTTTACTAGGCTACCTCTTAGGGGGTCTATGGAGCAGGGGGCGGGTCGTCAAGCTGGCTGCGTGATGCTGATTGGCCAACAAACTGAAGGATTTTTGGCTGACATTGGCCAGACAGTCAGGAGATTTTTCTCATGACTCCAAAGGGAAAAGTGATTATTCAGTCAGAACAGTCATGTTGTGCTGAACTGTTGTCGTGGTTTCTGGAGTTTATTATTTCAGAGATATTCACAACAGCTTTTTTCACCCGTCGTAGAGCCGTGTTTTATGTTTCAACCTTTACTAATGCACTATGTGACGTTTGGATTTAAATAACACCATTGAGCCTCCCGTTTCAGAGAGCAGCAGCCACCACTGTTATATGTACCGTAATTTTAACGACCATAAGGCGCACCGTACTAAAAGGCGCAGTCTCAGTTATGTGTGCCATTTCTGTATTTAACACACACATAAGGCGCACCGGACTATAGGGCGCGGGTTTTATATACCGGTACATGTCCTCTACTACGTTTAAATACCTCTACTGCGTATTTAAAAATAGAGCAGGAGCAAAACTGAGTATGTTTGTGCTTTATTCATGTATTTATTACAAAGTAGGCTATTAATCAAACACAGACACATCGCTGATGACACAGAGCGCTGTGATCACTCCTCTGAAACAGTTTATTGACGCATAAATTAACTTAAATTGCAGAAATCTGCCGGCAGAATATGTTCGCTTTTATTATCCTGGTGCCTGCAGTTTGGATTATTTAGATGAAAAACACCTGCCAGCTGCCGCGGTGAACCGCGAGGAGGCGACCCGGCCAGAGGCTGCTGTTAAATGGAATTCCTACTGACAGCGCACCGCTGGTATGTGGGGGTCTGAGCGGCTCCAACAGAAATAATATTGGAAGGCAGAATTGTAATCTGGATGAACTGACTGCAAAGATTACGTTTTCAGGTGGACTTTCTCACTTAAAAACATATTAAAACTACTTTATTCCCACTGATCACAGCAAATATAGCTGCAAGGCAGAGAAAGGATAGCGTAGCTCCGCCCAACGCGCGTCAGACACACTTTTGCACCGCGCAGCCAGAGCAGCAAAGCTGCTTCAGCCGCGCGTCAGAACTAACTGGTACAAGCAGCAAAAAGGAAGCAGCAGACGCATGAACGTAGCATTACTTTGAACGGCCGGTTCACACCGATGTCGAGCGGTGGAAGTTCCTTTGTCAGACTTCCTGGAATAACAGCGAGCACAGCTTTCATTTGTTTCAACGTGTTTTTCACATCGGCTGTGAGATGGGCACGCATGGAGTCACAGATTAACAGCGATGGTGATGCGTGGAAAAAAACCACCTGGTCTCCTTACATTCACCTCCCTCAGCCACTCTTTCATCATCTCCTCAATGAGGAGATGAGGAGTTCTGCATAAAGCACATACCTGTTCTTTTATACACAATCCACGCCCACACTCCCCCCTTTAACGTTCTCATGGTGGTCTCAACAACGTCTGCAGTAACAACACATAGGGTGCACCGCACTATAGGGCGCGCTGCACATTTTGAAGGAAAAAAAAGACGTTTATATGCGCCTTATAGTCATGAAAATACGGTATATATATTGGAGTCCGGTCAGTTTGGACTGGTTCCGATTGGTTCAGACAATGCAGACATCTGGTTTTCCAACTTCCCTTAAAAAATCTAATGAGAAATTAATATTATATATAGAAATTCTTTGTTGTGCTGTTTAGAAAATCTTAGTTGAGACAACAATGAGGGAAATTTACTGGTCAAACCAGTTTTTGTAGGTTGGAAAATTGAATGGTTTATTTTTGTGCTGGTTTAATTTGAAAACCTTAAAATAGATCAACAATTACTAGTAATTATTTTTTCCAGCATAATAAGCCAATGAGCAGCCAGGACATGCAGACTGATGTGATGCTGATCCTGATTTAACTTTTTTTTCTTTTGCAATGCATTAAAAATGACTTCCAATACAGACAAAAGGTAGGAAAAAAAGGTATTATATTAGATTTATTGAATTAAGATTAAAATGTAAAGATGCACACCTAAAAATAGAAATTAACTCATGAAACAAGATTAAATATCGCACACTTCTGATTTAATCTCTTCATTTCTAATTCAATAAAAATTGTTTTAATCTAAGTGGGAGCAATATCATTGGCAACGAGCCAATTCAGTTCAGACTTTTCTTTAATCTCATCAGATTTAGATCCAGTAGTTTAAAAACTGTATATGTAAGACACTTCACTCCAACGGCCTGAAGATGTCAGAGATTTTCACAAGGAAGTGTTCAAAGTTACCAGAATTTACAAAGCTTGAGAAAGAGCCGCCATGTCAAGCTGGAAATTACTTTAATAATCCATCAACTTCCTGTTGACTCATCCGCTTTAAAGGGTTGTTTTCCTCCATTTCTCACAGCTCTGGCTTTTTGTTTTTAATATTTCTGTGTTGTTTTTTTGCATAGCTTTGAAATATTTGATATGGAGGGATTTAAAATAGACCTTTCAGAGATTTAATGATTCCTAAAACCTCAAACATAAGTTCTACAGCATAAACATGACAGCGTGGTTTTCTTTTCCTGGTGTTTCATGTGCTTTGGAAACTGTTCCTTTTATTTTTCAGCACTGAGAATTCAACAAGACAGATGAATGGATATAGAGTATAAGGCAAAGGTTGAATAAAGTTAGAAGGGTTATTTAAGGGGTACAATCTAATCTCTAGTTAAGACCCACCTGTAGGTAGAAGCCAGTGCAGATCAGGTGAAGGAGCAGCCGCCACATTCTGTCCTCGTCCTGCGAAAGATAAACAGTCCCAGTGTTTACTCTGCTAGGTTCATGGTCCATTCCAGCAGCCCGTATTTTCCCGTTATCATAGGGTGACCAAACGTCCGTATTTCCCGGGACATATCCGTATTTCACGTCCTGTCCCGGGCGTCCCGGGTTTTTTTTAGAAAGTGAGGAAATGTCCTGATTTCACTGCGCAAGACGCTCCGTGTGACGTAATCCCTGAGCCGCGTCAGTGCGGGCAGCCCTGCTCTTAATCAGAGGCTCTGTTCAAAAACCTGGACTGCATCCTCCAAGGACGCGGTCTACCTAGACTGGATCCTTCGAAGTCCTTCGGCGGGTTTTACCGGCGTATGCTCTGTTGCTTAGCAACCGTGAAAGTTGACACACAAAGCAGGAAAAGAATGAATACCGAGGTTTTCAAAACTGTTTGTTTATTTATTTATTTTTTATTGTAAAGTGAACAAAGACTACACTCACAAGAATCCAGAGTGGAATATAGGTTCCAACCACAGGGAGCAGGAACAAATCAAATCAAATGTAATGATAGAAACCTTAGTCAGTTAAATAACATGCTGCTGTCATTCTGCACATCTCTGATGTTGATGCTATTTTCAAATATCCATTACTGTAAAAATGTCCATAGCTGCATATTGGTTATTTATTCTCCAGTTTTATATTGTTAAAACACTTTACAGTATTTTATTGTTTATATTTTAACTCTTCCCTATTATGTTATTCTTAGACATTTTTCTAAGGTCCTCATTTGTGTGACCATTTTCAATAATCTTTCTGCTGCTGTAAATTTGCCCATTGTGGGACAATAAAGGGATTTTCTATTCTATTCTATAAAAGGGTTAGAAATACATAAGTAAATCTAAACAATGTATGTATAAAAATATATCTGCTAAATCTGTAATATTCAACAACAAAAAATACTTAGTTAAGCATATTGTGCAAAACAACAATAAAAAAATTAAACTCCTATCAGATTTAAAGTTCCCACTCTGCAGAGCTATTAGAATCTGTCCTTAAATTAGAGCCAAACTCATTTACACAGTAACAGATAAAAACCTTTAGATAAATCAAACATTACCGCCACATATCTGACTCAATAACCATTAAAACAACTATTTTCATTCATTTCAGACGGAACTATTCACAGAGTTGTATTATATTAAACTGAACGTCCAATTTTCACCACTGTTCTGCGCCAAGTAACATTTCCTCTGATCACGGAGCAAATCCCGATGATGAGACATTTGCAGAGGCGTGCACAGACATTTTGGGGGGCAGGTGCTCAGGAGGGGGGGGGGGGGGGGGGGGGGGGGCACTTTTTAGCGCACGTGTAACACTTAATTATAAAAAAAAATAAACGCATGTTGAATGAAATTTGACTTTTATTTGTAACATTCTCTAAACCTGAGTTTTCAATGGAAAAAAGTCACATTACCAACAGAACAGACTAAAGCATACTTCTTTCATCTGGCTCATCTCCCTGTTTTCCCTCACCCATCTGTTCTCCCTCATCCTGGTCTTTTTCTGTCTCTGTGTCTTCCCTGAACTCTTCCTCATCTCCTGTCCTGTTATATGTTGATGGTATAGAGCTTCCCTGCTGTGACTGGCTACAATATATTAATAATAACCATCATGACAATAATAATAATAATGATGATAATAATAATAACAATAATAATAATAATAGCTTTAACAAATATGCCACATTAGTTTAAATAATGGGCTATTAGGGCAACATGACTGGAAGTCTTGTCACGTGGATATGACTTATGGTAGCCTACAAAATAATAGCTATTTTAAAACCTGCTGCACAAACCACTTAAAAATAAAATGGGAACAGCTTTTAAGACTTTTGAATATGATAAACCCTCCTTTCTTGGCATTGTGCTGCAATTACTAAATCAATATACAATTAAGACAATAAAGAGACCACAATGTGTTAATTTATGTTGCCTAACAAAACCTATACAACAGAAAACGTTTGTCTTAACACATAGATTTGTACAGAAGAGGATTAGGGCCACTGAAAAAAAAAAGTTAACTGATTTTTAAATTTTATTTCAGTTTAACATGGGAAAAAAGTCAGAATTCTGACTTTTTTATTGTCAGAATTCTGAGATTAAAGTCAGAATACTGAGCAAAAAGTCAGAATTATGAGAAAAAAGTTAGAATTATGAGATTAAAGTCAGCATTCTGACTTTTTTCCCATACTAAACTGAAATAAAATTCAAAAATCATTTAACTTAATTTTTTTTTTTCAGTGGCCCTAATCCTCTTCCGTAGATTTGCAATTGCAAACTCTACCAAAATTATTTGTAGCCTATGTGGTCGTCCTCACGTTATCTGTCATTGACTTGGGCTACAGTGTAAAACTTTCAGAATCAGAATCAGGTTTATTGCCATTGTTAGTGAAGGAGTTCACAAACTAGGAATTTTTTGTGGTACAATCGTGCAACATGAAACATATAAATTATAAAAATATCTAAAAACTGTGGGTATACGTCATGCAATAAAATAGACTTATATATACACTTAAGATAAAAATATGGATATAAAACATAAAAAGTAAAATAGCATCTTACAAGGAGACAACTAGTTTATCTGGTGACCAGTCGGCAAAATGCGTGTTTGGTGCTGCTGAATGAGACATTTTAATGCACAACAAAATGATTCTGCTTGATCTGTATATTACCTGGCTAATGGGGCACGGGAGAAGCATCCTGTCAGCGACCGTTCCTGCTATCTGAAAACTGCTATGATGCTGCGCATCTGACATGCCCTGCGGGCGACCGAGCGAGTTCACGTGACAAAGGAAGAGAGAGAGGCTGGTCGGGTGTGCGCAAGTAGGTGGCTCATTTCGGGGCATTGTTTCAGTCGTTTTTAATGGCTCAGGTTTTCAAAAGATCATTTCAAAACCGACCTCAGTAAAATCTTAATAATATTAATAATAATAATAATAAAAAAAACGAGTTTCAAAAGGGCATTTTCTTTGATAAAGGGCAAACTTCCTAGTGCTTTAGCACCACCTAGTGTCTATGTGTGCACACCCCTGGACATTTGTTATGTCAATAAATCCCCCCCCCCAAGGTGTCCTGGTTTTCCCAAATGAAAATATGGTCACCCTACGTTATCATAGCTGTTCATGAATCCCCCTCTGCAATCGGAGTTGATATGAGGATGAAAATGCATCATAAAGTAGAGATTAAAAGCAAAACTGTGTGACTTTAGCCACAGGGGGAGCAATAATTTTAACTTCCAGGCCATGAAAACAACTGACAACTTGGTGGTTTCAGAAACTACAATATTTGTAATCAGTTAATCAATCACTGAAATAAACAGTGATGGACTGCAGCACAGGAAATACATGACAAATAGTGAATTCATTTTAATTCCAGCATGTAAAATAAACTATAATTTTCCAAAAAAGCCTTTTGATATTAGGTTTTAGTAAAAAAAAAAAAAAAAAAATATATATATATATATATATATATGTATTTTTTTCTTTGGGTTGTGGATCTTTTGGCCCTTGTCTTACATCCACCAATTCAACAAAGGAAAGAGGAAAAAAAAAAAAGCATAATGTGTCACCATGGTGCAGTTCTAATGTGATTGGATAATTACAACAACAAAAAAACAAAAACAGATCACCAGATAAAACGCAGCCTATGTGTTAGCCAACAAATTACTAAGTGTTTTAGTGATTAGGTTATTCTCATTTTTGATCAACACAGATAACATGAATTATGTTTGTTTAGTAATACGGAATTCAAATATTTAATATTTTTAATGTATATGTTTCATTAGAATTCTGATTTTAAACTCAGAATGATTAAGAAATAAATACATTTAATCTCAAACATCTAAGCAATTCACCAGTGAAGTGTATTTTAATCTCTTAATCTTAATTATAAGGAGGTCTATTTTCACAATTCTGCAAAATTCCACTTGAAAAAAAAAATGTCAGAATTTCGTTTTTTTCCTCAGAGTTCTGAGTTTAACCTCAGAATAAGAAAATAAAAAAAGACCTTTCATCTCAGAATGATAATGACTTTAATTCAAATCAACTATACTTCATTCATCCCAAAGGAACATTAAATGTTGCAGTAACTCATATGTAATGAGAATGATCTTCTGTATCTGTGGTTGTTTAAAATCCTGAAGCGGACGCTACCTGTTGTCCATAATGTTCACTTTATGAAGAATTATTCTATGTGAAATCATCTATAGAGGTCGGGGGGGGATTTACCATTAGGAAATACTAGGCAGTTGTCTAGGGCCCCAAGTTCCTGGGGGCCCCATAAAACTGCTTACATGTACAGTTAATACAAATATTCCTTATTTGTGCACATTTTGCTTATAATAGTAAATGTGTCTCACAAATCTAACGATTTTTTCTGCTACTGGAGACTTTGGTGACAACATCTAAAAGCATCAAACTCTGCTCTAGAGAGCCAGTAGATTGGTAACCCCGCCTCCTGCTCTCCTCTATCTTGTCTGCTGCCATGATTCATGCAGCTATTATTTCATCCACAGGGTTTATACAGGAATGAGTTACTCTAATTTAATGCTTTTTAAAGCTCTTTTAATGCACTTAGAAATAATTTCAATGCCATCAACAACTACCCATGACTCTCATATATTTAATGAATTTTAATGCCAATTAAGGCCTTAATTTAAAAAATAATAATTGAATGACTTTTAATGGTTTTTAATGACCCATGGAAACCTTGCTTCAACTTAAAAATGGGGAACAGATGAGCAGATCATGGCTAGTCTGCAGTGAAAAGAAGGGCTGGGTTATTTACTTTTGCCGTCGCCTTTTTGAAAACTCAGCAAGAAGAAATCAGCTAAGTAATGATTGGAAAAATCTTTCATTCCTTTTCAGGCAGCATGAAAAGTCAGCTGACTACAAATGGCATCATTTTACAAATTTCCTAAAAAGCCTCCGCCCCTGACACTTCCTAGAACAGAGCTGACCATTATTAGCCTGCTGAGCTTCTTTCAGCTCTAAAACTGTTACCCCAGTAGAGGATGGAGGCAGAGATCACACTCTCCCCAACTGACCAATAGAAGATATGCAGCATCTTGCTGCAAATGCTGAAGGACCTAAGCTTCCTTAGGAAGTATAATCTGTTCTTTCCCTTCTTATAGACGGCTTCACAGTCACGTCTTCAGTCCAGGTGAACACCAAGGTATTTATACTCCTCCACCCCCTCCACTTCTTCTCCCATCGTGGTAATACTATTTAGATTGTTCCTGTTTCTTCTGAAATCTACTATCATCTCTGTTGTTTTGTTGACATTCAGGATCAGATGATTGTTTCCACACCATGACACAAAGCGGTCCAGCAGCTCTCTGTACTCAGCTTCATGTCCATCTTTGATGCACCCAGTGACTACAAAGTCATCCACGTATTTCTGCAGGTGACAGGACTCTGTCTGGTACTGGAAGTCAGACGTGCACAGAGTAAAAAGGGATTGAGAGTACAAATCTAATCTCATAATTCTAAAAAGAAACTACCTTTCAACTCAAAATTATACGGAGTGCAGATTAATTTCAATTTTCTTTTTTGTAGGATTTGTGCCTTTAATGTCAAAATTAAAATAATAAATCTGACTTGAATCATAGAATTCTACAATAAATTCTGGGTTTAATCTCAGATATGATAAGAAAAATCTGACATTGATACAAGATTTCTGACTTTAATCTCAAAGTTTAAAAAATAAAAAAACTGACTTTAGTCCAAGAATTCTAAGGATTTCTGACTTTGATCTCAGAAGCTGAAAAAAAAAATTCTGACTTAAATCTCAGAATTTAGAAAATTATGCCTTTAATTTATGAAAAACAAAATCTGACTTTAAAGTCAACATTTTCTGTCTGTAATTTTAGGATTAAAACTAATCCTGATATTGATCTTAAAATTCTGACTTCAGTCTTAGAATTTTAGAAGAAAAGCTAGCTTTAAATTTAATTTTTTTAATTAAATTGTGGCTTTAATCTCAGAATCCTGACTTTGTTAGAATTCAGAGATTCATTTGAATTAATGAAAGCAGAAGTTGAGTCCTAAAGGGTCATCAAAGAGTCAACTATGTGTCCAAATCCACAACTTCCTGAATTTCAGCTCCAGTCTTTCATTATTGGACAGACTGGTTCTCCTCATGGTTACTAAGGGCAGACATCTGGATTAATCAGTCTGTCCAATAATAAGAGAGAGAAAAATGAAACAAAGATTCTGGCTGAAGTTCAGGAAGTAGGAGTTGGAAAGGAAGCTCATTCTAAAAAAAAATAAAACAGCAGGAATGCAGACTTGTCTGCAGAGGCCCTAATCTTTTTCACAATAACTAGAAGGATTTGAACTTGTTCCTAATTATTTATATTTAAAATAAAAACAACAACAAAAAATCAAGACAGAAAATGTGTTGCATTTTTCCATACATGTATGACTGTCACATGTCTGTCTGACTGTAGGGGGCGCTGTTTTCTTTTATTCTTTAAAGATGTTGCTTTACTTCACCATAAACACATCCTTAGACAAAGTATAGAAACCGACCTATTTTATTTGATTAAACACCAACTATTTTAATGTTTATTCCCTTTTAACGTAAAGCCTTGCATTAGAGTTGAATTTGAAGTGTTTCTAATGTGAAATCAAACAGATGAACTAATATTTCAGGCATTTTTTGATTAGTAATTCTCAGACCACCACCTGCCATCCTGCTCCTCTCTGTTATCCTGCTCGAAGGCGTAGGTTTGATTTCAGCTTTGGTAGGGACACTATTGGTCTTCAATTTCATAATTCTGATGTCATTGGTCCTTTGCAAAAACATGCTTGCTCTTTTTTGTTTAAAGAGAACAGCAGCATTTATTCCTACATTAATACAAATCTTATAAGCACAACACGCACTACATGCTGTTTATCAATGTTTAAAGCATCACTGGCTCTGATCAATATGGAATAAAGACTTTTTTCCACTTTGAAAAGGTTTGCATTTAAACTCACTAAGACAGTAGGTAAATCTGTGCCTATTTAACCAAATATAGACTAAATATGTCTGTTATATGTGGATTTATCCTGTGTTTTCTTTTGAAGATATAGAATTGTACAGAGGTAAACCCAACTCATTTTTTTTTTTATCTAATATGCTATTTCTGTATCATGCATAATAATACATTAAAGGAACGGCAAATAAATGTATTTACATGAGCACTGGAACTATTAGAGAAACTGACACTGAGCTTTTAAAATATTAACTTCACTTTACAAGTTGTACATCTGGGCTGTAGTTACTCTGCGTCGCCCATTTAATGTATTTTATCTATGGCTGAAACAATTAATCATATTAATCGATTATTTAGATAATCATCAACTAATTTAGTAATTGATTAAACATTAACTAGAGTATAGGGCCACTAAAATGTGCCTTTAGCCAACAGAGCGTCCCACTTACAGCAAGAATTATACCAAGATTGGAAAAAATATGTAAACATTTTTCATTTAAGACAAAAAAACAAAGTTTTTGTCTGTGAATATTCTCCATCCAGAACTCCTCCAGAGGAAACGTTTTTGTTTCACCTGGTTTCATTTCATAAAAAAAATCTTCTTTAAGGAACCTTTGGCTGATCTGATTATCAATTGATTCATCGACAGATAATCAATTTGCAGAATAATCATTAGTTGCAGACCTAATTTTATGGTAACATTACAAACACATTTCTTCCATAATAACATCACTGAAGGGCAGCTGCTTCACCCTGAGGCTGCCCTGCAGCATTATGTCTGGGTTTCCCACAATCATATAATGTTTCTATTATATAAGTGGGTTTTTAATATTAAAGGATTAAATGAAACACAACCTTTTATCATCATCCTATATTGCTTGCTGTTTAAATAGCTCCTTATGTCTATTTTCTTTTTTAGTGGCATCATCTACAAACACAACACTAAGAATAAGCCTAAGTTTATTCAAATATAAAATCACTTTTAACAATTATAAAAGACAATATAACACTATCTTTCCTGGAATGTAAAAATATCCAAAATAAACAGCCAGATTCATTATTTACCAGACAATAATGTTTGTACTAATTTACTTATGGACCGTGTGGAAATCTAGAAAAATAGAATCAGTGTAAATAGAGTTCCTCTGTTTGTCTTTATTCTATTTCTAGAAGTAGGAATCAATTAAATAGAACTATTTTTATGTGGAAAACAAAAAATAGCAGATCTTTAGCATCCTTCTCGTGTTGTTATGATCTAGAAAATAAATAAAACCTGTTATTTATACCTGAACTGCCATCAAAAATGAAAACATTAATAGCAAAGAAATATTGGTGAAAGGGAATCAGAAATGTTGATAGTTTAAAGTCTTTGTTCATTTTAACAGCATTTTTCTAAACTCCTGTCTGACTATGAATATTTAGTTTTAGAAAAGAAATCCTTACGTTGGTGAATTTCATTTCTCAAGTTCATCAAATCCAAACTCTCTCCTGCTTCTTTGCAGAACTGCAATCAGAAGCTTTCGCCTGTTTTAGCGTAGATAACATTTAGTTTTTAAATTGGGACTAGTTTCGTAGCCTAATATTAATTTTGGTAACCGCCTTATTCTAGCATCATTTGTTTTTATTTCAAGCTCCAAGCGCGTGCACACATACAGACTAGAAAACAAGCAATCAGAAAGAGAGTAGGAGGAACTTAAGGCAGAAAAATCCAAGAGTTAAACAGTGCAGCACAGTTGATGCACTGCTAAGTTAAAGATAGAGGAAAGAACAGGCAGCTGCAGCTACCAGGCAGAGGAGCTGGAAAAGAAGCCACTGCTGCAACAACTACTGCTGTAAATTACAAACATTATGTTCACATCCAATTATTGGTAGGGAGGTCGATCCAAAATGTTGGTAGGGACATGTCCCTATGGTTCCTATGCAAACATACGCCCATGATCCAGATGTTCTATAAAGTTTTTACATTTTATTCACGTTTCGCTCTTTGGCAACATTATTTTGCATAATCCGGATTAGTCAAACCTTGAGGCAGCAGGCGTAGTGCAGACTTTAATCAAAGAGAGAAACCTGACTAAAGCTCCTTAATGGGAAAAACAGAGCATGAAACATCAGAGTAACTCACCTCTGCTGCTGAAGCTCAGAGAAATTCTCTCACTGTTAGAAGATCAATCAGAAAACAATCCAGATACTCTGCCTCTCTGGAAAGCCTGATCTGCTGCTGCTCTTTCAACACGCACATAATTTGCAATTTCTAGTATTACCACAGAGGCTTTTCCTTCTTCTTTTTGGCTTGTTGACATTTCCTGTCCTTGGAGTTTCCCCTTTTCTGTCAGCTTCCACTTTGGCCAATAAAATGTCTCCACTTCCTCCCCACGTGCCGGGAGGCTGGGCCTGGATCTCTGCTTGCTTTCCTCACATTCTTAACCTTTTCAGTCATTTAAGTGAGCAAATAATGAGGCCATGATATCAGTTCTTTAAACAAGATTAAATAAAAAAGTCTTCTTGATTAGATTTAAGGTTGTAAGAAGTGGCTCCATGCAGTGCAGTCCCTTTTGTCAACACATATTTATCACCAATTATTTAGCTATTACACAGCAAAAACTGATCTAAAAAATAAAAAGTTCTTAAAATAAACATATTTGCCCTTAAATTGAACAGATAAATAAGATTATCTGCAAAAATATTTAGTATTTTTCCCATATAAAAAAGGTAATTGCATATAATTGCACTTGAAATAAAGAGCTATTTTTCTTTTAAGATGATGTACATATCTTACTTCACTTATTGTTTTTTCTACCTGTAGGGAAATACAATTTTTTTCAAGAAAGATTGAGTTGAATTTAAATGTTCGTAGTTTATGCTGTATAGGGGCCAGGGTCAGTTCTTCAGGGGCGCTGGACTCTATTGGCTCCTGTCTAAAACTTCCCATGATAAAGAACGTCCAGCTACAATATCTACTGTTTACTGTATATTTAGCTGAGTTTTCACTAGTTAGAGTAAGATATTGCAATATAATAAGCAGAAACTTTATTTTAGTAAGCCTAGTGATACTCTCACCAAAATAGTACTGAAGTAAAAGTGAATAGTACAGCAAAGTAAAAGGACTCTTAAAGTATTTTTTTGTTTTCCTCTAAGTTAGCCTACTTGAGCAAATCTGAGTTAAAGTGACTAGTTACAGCTGTTCTCTGCATAAATAATATTCCATTATCATTAACTACCATTGCATAAAAAAGTACATAAACTCATACTGTTGTTTAGGATATTATGAGGATGTTTAAATGACTTAATGTTGTCATGGAGATAAAGGATCCAAAAATGCAGCACTGGAGACGTGAGCTGATGGTGACTAAAACACATTTAAAATCAATAATGGATTTAACAGGGGGACACCTGTCTGTTGTCCTTTTTCTGTCTGGAGGAACGATGACAAAAACAAACCGAAGGGAAGATTAAAGATAATCTGCAGTTGAGTCTAAGCCTTTAAAGATCAACTGGATGATAAATAAATTAACATTTAGACTTCTTTGAAAATATTCTCTAGTGCATTAAGTAGGCTTATTATTATTTGTCACAACCTCACCACTGTGGTCAGTTGCAGCATCATGTGGGGACGGCCATCTTTAAACCAGCTATGCTAGTTTAACACTTTAGTTTTAGTGCGTGACAGTTTATTTAAACCTTGATTTAATCTGAGTATGCGTTCCATTCAGGCTGGTTTATAATAAAGTATCTGCATAATAATAATAATAGTTACTGAAACAAGGAACATAAAGATGTTGTATTAATGTTGTTTGAAAGTCTTATCATTAAAATGTGTAATATTATATAAATATAATCCAATATGCATATGTGTGAGTAAACATTTTCTAATTCCTGAAATCTTAAATACGTCACTTTAGGGGCCGGGTTCTGGTTTGTTTTGGCTTTTTTTATTTTTTTTTTTTTTACAGGTGCACAAAATAAGGAAAAAAGAGGGAACAATTGTGTAACAGAGTTAGAAGAGTATTTTTACAACCTCGGTTTTAAGCTGAGACTACAGCTGACAACACACCTTATTTTCTCTTAGATTTCATTTGTTTATTTATTAATTTGCATAAACTTGTGAATAACAGTAGAGATTTAATAAAGAATAGTTTAAAACGATTTCGTTTTTTGAATGCTTACATATTTTTTCAAGCTTTACGTTTGTTTGGTGCACCATTTCAACTATGGAGGGAATTTTGTTCTAATGTTGTTACAAGTAAAAGACATTTTGAAAATGAGGGGAAAAAATGCAATCCATAAATTAAACTCTTAAAAACTTTTTTATCAAAAAAAATGTTTTGGTATTAATTTAGCTGCTTTCTCAGATTTACATTTTTCAGATAATTTTTTGTAATTTTTAAATTAAATTTTTAAAATTTCTTATTCATTTTTTACAGGTGTTATACTTTGAAATTCAAATTTTTTCCAGCTTGAGTTTTGAGTTTTACTAATTGCATCCTTTCCAAGTTGTGTTCTACAGATCATATTATCTTCTCTCCAAGCCCAGTTGCTCTTGATGTGCAAATTAACAATAAACTTTCCTTTTACAAAATGTTTTCTTTGCTTCACTCCATACTATGAAGAAGTGTTTAAAAATTACACACATTTCTTGACATAATTCTTAAATCTGGCTCATATAAAAATTAAAACTGTATAAAAGATTTTTTTCTTCAAATTTCAGCGTTTATTTTTTGTTTTAGTTTGTGTTGGTTTAAAGGTTAGACATTTGATCTTTAGTGGGAAATGATGCGGTTCCAGTCTGAGCGCTCACTCTGTTTTTACACTCCTTTTACTTTATATTTGTTTATGTTTTAAATTAAAGATTTTATTATTTGATGATGGTTAGGGTTTGTGTCATTCACATTTTAATCACTAGAGGGCGCTTTCATATCAGAGCACAGGGATCCTTAAACAGAACAGACTGAAAAAATAAAATAAAGTCATAATATGTGGTGGAAAATACATTCTGTATTACAGGGAGATGATCTGTGTTTTTGGTTAGAAAATTTTTTTTATAGACAAAGAGAATGAATAGAATTATTTATTGAGAATAATGTTTGACACTTTAAGAAAGTTCAAAATAAAAATGTCAATTTGTTCTTTATGATTTGAAGCGGCGTCACAAGCTTTAATTGAAATAAAATGTATTTTTATAGAGAATTTAATGTGTCTTTTTGCATTTTCAATTTTGTAAATTCCACTAATATGGTGCACCAGTAAATTAAGATTATAATAAATAATTTTTACATAAAACTAAGAATTGATTTTTTTCTTCCCCATTAATATAACATGTCGACACCCACAGGCTGATTTAGTGATTAGAATAGTTTTATAAACTGAGACTTAAAGTTTTGTCTTGATATAAAACAAACGTTTTTTCAGACTGTTTGTTAATGATTTACTTTTTTAGAAAATGCAACAAGCATCACTAGTCTCCCCTACTTCTAATCCGTAGGTACGCTCCAAATACGGTGCATAGGTTATCTGAGGGGATAAATTCAGGCTTAGAGATATTAGTTAAAGCTACTGGTAAAATAAAGGTTACTGTTAACTTGTTGCTGGAGACTGGGAAAACACCAGAGAAAAAACAGCACAGTTGTTTTCTAATATATTGGAAAAATGTAATTGACCAATGAAATGATTTCTTATTGTCAGTTTTGGTGGTTGAGCTTCAATAAAGACAAATGCCCTCTATTTAATCAGCTTGAAACGTTGGAACATGTTAGTTTATTGCATGAACATTTGGTTTGTCTGATCTAAACCGTCTCTGAGTAACAGAGTCAAATATCGAAGGAGTTGCAATGTTTGAGGTCTGCAACAGTGAACAGTGTTCAGAGCTGGGTAGTAAATAACAGAGCTAAGTAGTAACTAGCAGAGCTAGGTAATCCAGGTCCAGATAGTAAAAACCTTCCAACTATATACTCATCCAGCTCTGCAGAACAAAGTTGCATGATCAACAGATTATGAACAATAGGAAGGAAAACATGGCAGGGTTTTATTTTCTGGACCCTGATTAACAACCTCTGGTAACTAGTTACATTAACTTGTTTAAAAGTAACATACTTTTATGAGTAGTTTTACAGCATTTTTCGATTTTGTGTAAAAACAGGATAAACTATCACTACTCGTGAGTAAAATTCCTGGTTGCTCCGTGGATTGAGAATAACGTAGCTTCATGAAACAAGCTTGTTTTAAACAGGTAAATGTTTTGTTCTTGAGGTTTATTTTCCAACTGCTGGATGGAACCTATTCTAACATAATGTAACTAATGAATTTTAACATCATATAATTAAAAAAGTATTTTGAATAGTTCTTATTCCACCTGTTTTTTTTTATCTTAATCTCTTAATCTTTATTTAATCCTTTTTTCAACGTTACATCATTTCATAAAACAATAAACCAGCTGTTGTGATCATGGGTAGCAAGTAGACCCGTCACTCAGTACCTGAGTTGCCTTTCTATCAAATACTTTTTCACTTTTATTTGATGTTTTTTTTTAAAGGCTACTTCATACTTTTACTATAGTCAAAATCAGTGACGTGCGGTCAGGGGAGGCAGGTGAGGCAGTGCCTCACCAGCCATCATGGAAAGAAAGAAAATATATAATCATAAAGTAATTTAAATTGTTATATTCATCCGGTGGTTTGTACTAAAAAATATTCATTTTTCATGTAGCTTCACCAATTTCGATTTTTATTTGTTCAAAATCGCTGAATTTTCTTATTTTCCCATTCAAATGCTTGGAAGCGATGCCGGTGAGGCAGCAGCGAGCTCTGCCTCACCTTGGATTGCGCAACCCCTGGCTCTGCGCTGGCTGCAAAGCGGAGAGAGCATGTTGCTGTACGGCGTCAATAAAATGGTTTAAACAAATGTAATATGTGAACTTATTTCTAATAATTTGGCTTATGTATATAATGTACAGAGCTTTTTGTCACCAACTGTGTTTGTGTAACGTGTTTCGTGTAATGAGCGATTATAAACGGCAGAGAACAAGTTCGAGGTGAGGCAGGCAGTTCTCTTGCCTCATGGCAGGGGGTGCTCAAGAGACTGAAAACATAAGGCAGGAACAGGACGGATCAAGGAAGGCTTTCTTCCCTGGCAGTGATCTCCATTGAGACAGAGAGACTTTTAAAACTGAAGGAAGATAAGGAGGACTTCTATTCATTTATAAGTAAAGGTAAGACAGTAATAACATTTATTTTGTTTTGTTTTTTAAGGAAATGTGTGTTTTGTGAGCTACAGTTTGTATGTGTAAGGATGCAGAAGTGAAACATAACCTGTAAACTGCTGTCAATCTATGCATCTATTTGCAAATCTGATTCTGATGACGTCAGTGCCTCACCAGCTATGAACCTCACCGCACGTCACTGGTCAAAATATGATGGAGTATTGCTGTTCTTATTTAATTGGTTGTTTTAGCTACTCTACCTGTTTCAGTAGGCTACTTCCAAAAGATCATTACATGAAAAAATAAGGGGGCTTGTTGGTGGTTATTCTTGTTTAGACAGCATAAGAGAAGCATGACCTTAAGCAGACCATCCATCCATCCATCCATCCATCCATCCATCCATCCATCCATCCATCCATCCATCCATCCATCCATCCATCCATCCATCCATCCATCCATCCATCCATCCATCTTATCATATTTATGACGGGTTTGATGGACCTTTTTTAAGAAAAAAAACTTCTTCACATTGATGAAACATAATCGGTGGTGAAGCTGGACAGAAAGACAAGAACGCATCGGGACTAACAGGAAGGCTACTGGTTGGTCTTAATTAGGTGGAAGTTTAGGCACAGCTACAAAATACTGACTTATTAATTTTTTTAATGTAATGTATAAAGAAAAGGTGCATTCACAAGATGCACAACTTATTAACTACTATAAAATATTGACCATGTGGCCTGACAGAGAACGCCTCAGGCAATGGGTGATGACCAATGATGGCATCAGGTAGGAATAACTAATGTAGTGAGGTCAGAATAAACTAGACAACCAGAAAGGTTAACTTTTCTACTGACCACCTGTTCTCTATGTCCTTTTGGGAAAATATTTCAGGCAGACAGCAAGCAAGCACCACAGAGGAGAAGGTGGAACAGAGAGCTGTTTCTGTATACCCCTAAAAGTAGCTAGTTGGGCCCTGCTTCTACTAGTAATAGTAGTTACAAGGTTAACACTAAACAACAGAAGAGAATGCATTGGTTCTCTCTAAAATTTCCTCCTTCCTGCAACAGTCCAATAGCATGACTAGCTGTCATGACGAGCTGAACATGGATCTTTGATGACAAAAACATGAAAACTCATGAGTGTGATGTTGACGAGACTAAATAAAAATGTTAGCAGGGGGTCAGACATTTCAAATGCATCATTGTGCATCAAATGCATCATTGTGCATCAAATGCATCATTGTGCATCAAATGCATCATTGTGCATCAAATGCATCATTGTGCATCAAATGCATCATTGTGCATCAAATGCATCATTGTGCATCAAATGCATCATTGTGCATCAAATGCATCATTGTGCAGTATCAGCCAGCTGCTGCGTCCTGTTTGGTCACGCAGCACACCTGACGTGCAGCGGTGCTCATTCTGCATGACCACAGGTGGATCATGGCAGCAGAGATAGGGAAGAAAATATGGCGGAATAGTGCGGTACTGCACGCTCAACTCTGACAAACTCTGCTCTTGCTTGTGCAGAAATGTGTCTTTAAGCGTGCAAAGCTCCGACTGAGCTTTACGCTCCACACTGATGTTCGCGCTCAGAGGTATGGCTCTTCCTGCTCTCGCTATTTAATAAACTATATGGGGCTGATCTTCCTCAAGCATAAAAAAATCCTTTGTCTAACTATTATGATTTTATTTCTTTCAGCTCACAAGAGATGATAGTATACATTCTATAATTTCTACCAAAATGAATCCCTAAATTATATCCAAAGTAAATGTTTCTTAGCATAGCAGCTCCCAGGTAATAAGGTACATACATATTTGAATCTTTCTCTCTCATTGTTCTTGTTTCTATCTATTCAAATATGATGTAAATGTTTCCTTGTATTCACATTAAAACATTTTCTCTGTTTCCTTTGATTATAAACATTTTATTTAGCATATTCATTCAATTTATGTCTGATTTGCAATTATGTAGGTTCTCTCTGTATTTTTTTTTATATCAAAACCCTGTGAATTTAAATCTACTTTGACCCCTGAGCAGCGGTAACCAAGGGAGAAACTGAAGAAATAGTCAGAATTGCCAAAGTAGAAAGATAAATGTTTTTTGTTATTTGCTTTTTTTGGAGCAATTAAGATTTTATTGATCTGTGTGTAATAGATAATTTCTAATAGATCAGGAAGTGTTTGCTTTGCGATGAAAACCTTGTATGTTTAAAACCATTCCTTTATTGAACATTTTCTTAGCTTGTCTGTCTGCTATATTAACCAATATGATGTGTTGAAATAGATCTGCTATTTTCACAACTTTTGTGAGACACTTTTTAAAACTTTTATTAATTCATAAAAAAGTTTATTTGAATTCTTTAAATCAAAGAGGATTGTTGCACGGCAGCATTCTATACCCAGCTATTGTAATATCTAGGCTAGAGCTGTCAGTCTGGTAAAGAATCTGGTTGTTAATCGAAATTGTAAAGGTTAACTATTTTTTTTAAGTGCAACATAAAACTGACTAAAACTAGACTAAAACCTGAGTTTTAGTCGACTAAAACTAATAATAGTTTTCATCCTGAAGAATAAAACTGAAACTAAATGTCAGATGGCTGTCAAAAACAACTCTGTTGGCTTTAACTCTACATGCACACACATTCTAACTGTCAGAATAAGCTGGTAAAGATGGATGGATGAAAAATAGTTCCTTGCAATACCTATGATTTTCCAGCAGAGGGCGACAGTGACAGACTGACTGAAAAAGTCAAACCAGAATTCACTTCTTCAAGTTACATTTTAATAATCCGGTAAAAACTGTAAACAGTTCTTCTGTCACTTCATTACATAGTGGAGGGTGTATGGTACTGGGGTGGACATGGTAAACCTCATCATTTCTGCCCCTCCTGCCCCCAGGAGGACTGATTCTATAGAGTTCGGTTCTGAAGGTTCCCTCCATACATCCACAGGTCTCCTGGAAAGCGTCTCTACACCACCTTCTCTCCGTGGGTGTCACTCAGTCCGTGTAAACTGTGGGTTTCCTCCTCTTTCAGCCCACCCGCGGCGGCCCCCTCCTTCCCCCTGCGGATCAGCACCAACTGGGCCGCGAACACGGCCAGCACTATGAGGAACACGATGCCCACGATGATCCCCACCAGCCCGCCTGCTGACACCCTGGAGGGCCGCCGCGTGGGCTCAGGGTGTGGGGTGGTGGGTGGTGTTTGGGTGGAGGTGGTTGGTGACCCGTCTGTGACTTCATCATCGATTATTACGCACTGGTGTCCATCGATTAACGTGAACCCTGGAGCGCAGGAGCACACGTAGCCGCCATAGGTGTTCTTACAGCTTTGGGAGCAGAAAAAAAAGTCACATTCATCCATGTCTAAGCAGAAGGAGCCGTCTGCTCTCTCCTCCAACAGAAAGCCGTCGGGGCAGAAGCACTGGAACTGGCTGTTGGGGTCACACATGGCGGGACACTCCCCCTCCCCACAGTGCAGCCTGCATCTCCTCGGCTCATTTTCATCCTCTATGTATCCTTCATAGCAGGAGCAGAAATAACCACCAGGCGTGTTCACGCACGTCTGCTCGCACGGAGCGCTCACGCACTCATCCACATCCACGCACTGATCCGCCATCAGTTTATACCCCTGCTCGCAGACGCACTTGTAGCCCATCGGTGAGTTCAAGCACTTGAAGTTCTCCCCGGGACACTGCCGCTCATCCGCGCACTCGTCAAAGTCCACGCAGCTCCTGCCGTCCGCGGCCAGCTGCAGGCCGTGGCCGCAGCCGCACACATGCTGCGTTCCGTTCTGCAGGCAGGTCTGCTGGCAGCGCAGCGCCGCGCACGGGTGGTCCTCATCCCACGCCTGGCAGGTGACCCTGTTAATCGGGTCCACGATGAGCTGCGGCGGGCAGTAGCAGATGGGGGCGTTGTTTTGATCCACGGCGCATTTATGTTCGCAGCCTCCTTCCTTTATCTCGCAGCTCCAAGGCGCCGGCAGCCACTGCTGCCCGGAGCAGATATATTTGCTCTCTGATGGGAGACGGACTGCGATGCTTCCAGAAGGAAGAGTGGGGGACAGTATCTCCTCCACCTTGAACCCATCGGGGGTCCGGTAGCGCACGGACTCCTGCGTCTCATGAGGCAGACTGGTGCAGGGCTCAGTGAAGCCGTTCTCACAGAGGAAGCCTTCTGCCTGCTGCGCGCAGGGCGCCTGGCTCCATCTGAAGCGCTGCTCTCTGCTCACAGAGACGCAGCCGGCGGCCAAGCAGCTGCTGTCAGAACCCGGCAGCCAGTTGGTGAAGTCGCTCTCTGTGTCTTTGGTGACCCACTGGAAGCCCCGGAGTTCCTTTGAGGGGTCCGGGCAGCCGCTCAGGCGGTGCAGACCGATCCAGAAGCTTCCGCTGAAGTTTCCCAGCAGGACGGAGAGGACGTCGTTGGCCACAGAGGTGCGCACGGTCATCAGGTGGCTGCCCAGGGCTCTGCAGCGCTCCCGCGCTGAGCTGAAAGTGCTGGGATCCCGGAACAGGATGAAGCATGCATTCCCGATGCAGTAGCCGCTGCTGCGCTCTGCGCCTCCAGCTTCAGCCTGGAGGAAAAGCAGCAGCAACACGGACAGCCCCGCTGGAAGCACCATGTCTAAATATCTGCTGGTTCCGCTCTAAGCTCTTCAGCGATCCAAAAGATGTTCGGCCTGTTTGTTGACAGAACTATTTAGGTGGTATATATAAACCCCTGCCTCCATATTAGGGTCCAGCGGGAGGAAGGAAGACGCTCCGAGGACATGACAGCATGACTGCTGGGCTGCTCATTTCCCCTCAGCCGCACACTCACCACATCCAGGGTTTACGCACGGCTTTCACGCTCACGCAGAACCGGGGCTTTGACCCTTATATGTAGTAGCCCCTCCCAACAGACCCCCACTCTGCCTGCTTCTCAAGTATGGCAAGCCCTTGTGGAAATATTTAAAACCAGTAACCGCTCAGTAGTAAGACTAAAAACAACTAGATATTTGCTCACTAGTTGGACATTTTATATTTTTATTTATCCAGAAACAATCTTAGAGTTAATTTTTTTTGGTTTAAAGTTGCTAATATCTGTGACGATGACAACTAAACAATCATTAAGAGTGGTTCTTATATTGAGATCCTTTTTTGTGTGTTTTTCTTACTTTAAGAGCTGAACCATTCTATTTAATGGCAGCAAGGCCTCGGACGCATCATCCCCGTGTCTGTATATTTATTTGATTTTTGTTTGAAAATTCGCCAAACTAGAATGGCACCCAGGCTGGGTGATAAATAAACGAATCTTGAATCTTGACAGCTTGGAACATGAATGTCACCAGCGGTACCTGCTTTTGCCAGCAAGGAAACAGTTGGTGAATAGCTGCTAATTTTTTTTTTTTTTTTTTTTTTTTTTACTCCTGTCCAGATAGATGTTAATCAGTCTTAGAACACACAGAGCTTATTTGAGTGAGGAAACAGAACTGAGGGCTGATCTGAAGGATTCTGAGTGTTTACACCAACTGCTTGCCATACACCCAAAAACAAGCCTTTAATTTGTCCCATTATCGGTTTTTATTTTAGGGAATAAATTAAATGTGTACAAGGATTTTCTGAAAATAAAAATATCTGGATTTTATTTTTTCTTCATGTTTGTGTTAAATAGGACAAACCTTTAAAAAAATATATCTTGGTAGAATAAATTAAAGCCCAATGTGTTCAGACATGTTTGACTCATTGTTAGAGCATGTTCCAACTGCACATATATATATATATATATATATATATATATATATATATATATATATATATATATATATATATATATATATATATATATATATATATATATATATATATATGTATAGGCCTAGAAGGTGGTGTAGAGAGGCCCTGAATCAAGTTTTTTACTGGTTTTATTTCTCTATTCTTTGAAGACATTACTTCTTGTTTAGTACGTAACATTTCTATTTTTTCTGCCTTGTCCAGAGAAACAAAGATGCACAACCATAGACAACGTTTAAATATTTATTCCGTTTTTCTTGAATGATTCATATGCAATGTATAGTGAAAAAAACACAATATTTAACTCTGGAAAGGATTAGGCTCAATACATCTGCTTATAATAGGTAATAAAAACTCCAAGAAACCATTGACAAAAATCATAAGAAAGTCTGTGTCCTTTGGTGCAGAACACAGCAGGACTCTGAATCTTAATAATTCAGACGTAATACAGATGTCTCATGGATTACTGAGGAATTGGACGATTTTTTTCGTCGTCCAACTCATTTCTTTCTTGATTCCTTTTCTTTGCACATGAGCAGAAATAGTGTTTACCAATAGTAGAGAAAACAGCTTGCCATAAGCCTGTCAGACCAGATGACTGCAGCTGTAATATATGAAGTAGCAGCACAATGTTTACATTCAGGTGAAGCTGACCGGTGAGGATGAGCCTGTGGTACAGTAAAGTGATTATTAGCAGACTGCAGACACTGTTCATTCCTAACATCCACTGCTTCACAGCTCTTTGGTCACACAGAGTGAGTCTTTTTGCACAAAGCAGGCCGAAGCTGAATATAATAGAAACACACATATTCAACCCCTCAAGTCACCAGTCGGTTCTATTTACATGCATTATGCGCTCCTCTCCCAAAGATAAAAAAGCAGCCAATGTTTCTTGTTACATCCAGTGCTGAGCTTTAAAAAAAGCAAACATATTTTCACATTGAACATGATTTTGTCAGAGTTAAAACAGGTTGAACATAAAAAAAAAAAAAAAAAAAAAGCACTATAAGTGGAAAAAAATGGATGTTTGCAGGGTGGCCAATTCTGGAAAGTACCATTAGTTTGACTGTAGAGAGCTGCTTCTAGTTAAAAAACTGATCTGGCTGAAAATATTTCTTTCTTTTCTTTTTTTTTACATAACAACTAGTTTAATAAAAAAATCACTTAAAAAAACAAAAACAACAACTAAAAATGCTTTCTAATTTCCCTCATAAGGCATGTTTATTTCTCAGTGCGATATATAAAGTACATTTGGGGTTTTTTCTGTCTTCTAACACAGAAACCAGTGCTTCAGACTAAATCTTTATTACAACAGAGATGCAGCGATCTGTCCGCCACAGATTAGAACGGATCCATTTTTATTCCTTATGTATAAATGCATTAAATCTTAAACCTTTCTAAAACAAACAATGTCTGTTATGATGTCTTTTTTGGAGGGTTTGTAAAAATGTAAATTTATGGTTTACTTTTATTGTTTCCAAATATCTTAGACCCTCCAGCACAGCTGCTTTATTTTTATATTTGAGAAGAAAATCAAAAATAAATCAATTTTTTTTTTAAATCGGTCTATTTAAGCGGTATCGGCCTGATCGGTGCATCATTCAGACTCTCTGCGGCTCGTTTCTAACCTGCTTATCAAAGGATAAGCGCTTGTATGTCTCTGTTGTGACCTGCTGCAGGTAGAAGATGTCAATATCCGGGTGTTTTAGGGCGGTCAGGTCCAACGTCCTGCAGCGTGTCGCCGCGTATCTGACCACGCACAGCATCAGCCCCCCGCACAGCGCCAGGAACACGGTGATGCCCAGGACGCTGCCGGTCTTAATGTAAGAAGGCAGGGCGGCCGGCTGGAGGCTGATAGGGGTGGTTGATGGAGCGGGTGGAGGAGGAGGAGACCCAGATGCGTCCTCCTCATCCTCATCCTCCTCGGTGTGATTCACCCGGACACACTTCTCCTTCTGCAGGGTGTAGCCCTTCCTGCACACACACCTGAAGCCGCCGAACAGATTCTCGCAGTCGTGATCGCAGAGCCTCTGAGCCTCGCATTCATCAAAGTCGTGGCAGGTGGCTGCTCCCTCTGAGCGGTCCAGGATGAAGCCTTCTGGGCAGAAGCACGGCGTGTCCTTACTCTCCTGCTTCGGGTTGGGATGACAGATCGCAGGGCATGTTTTCTGATTGCAAACCTGCTCGCACTTGGTGGGGTCATTGGGGGACACCCTGTACCCCTCTCTGCACTTGCATCGGTACACCCCGCTGATCTTCGCGCAGTCCATATGCTCGCATAATCTGCAGATGGAGATGTTAACGCAGGCGCCCTCCTCCATCGCAAAGCCCTCCGCGCAATCGCACTCGTACCCGCCATCCAGGTTTACGCACACCTTACCCTCAGCCAGGCACGCGTTCTCCTCGTCCGCGCACTCATCCACGTCCACGCAGCTTTTCCCGTCCGCTGCAGGCCTGTAACCCTCGGAGCAGCGCCGGATCTCGGACGGGGAGCTGCTACCCGGCTCAGATGTGTTCGTGCAGGAGAAGCTGTTGTGATGGAGGGATTGCGCGGCTGGACACGTACAGGTGTGGTTAAATTGATCGCAGCTGTGATCACAGCCACCCTGCAGAACCTCGCAGCGCCACGGAGCCTGCATCCAGTTGGTCACACAGAGATACTTGCAGTCCGGGAACTGAGCGCCGGGCCGAGCCGCCAGGGCCAGGGTCCCAGGGGGAAAGGTCTCCGAATCTGCAAATTCGAAGCCTGCAGGTGAGCGGTAGGTCACCGAGGTGTTCCCACTGTCCCGAACGACGCCGCATACGTCAGAGGAGCCGAAGGTGCAGAAGAAGCCGTCCAGGATGTCCCCACAGTGCTCCGGTCGAACCTTGAATCCGGGCCCACTCCCCGCAGAAACAGCGGTGCAGTTTGGGCCACCCTGCAGCCAGAACACCCCTGTGAATCCTCTCAATAGACGCTCAAACATGCTCGTCTCTACAGAAGTGCTGGATTGGACCAGCTTTCCGTTTTGCCCCTCGCAGGCTTCCTGCGCAGCTTTAGGGTCCAGAGACCCCTGGAAGCAGCAGAGATTCCCGGAGCAACGAGCGCGCTGCAAGGCGGCCGCTTCCTGCAGCAGAAGAGCGGAGAAAAACAGGCCCAGAGACACAGGAGCCATGGTGGAGAGCAGCTGGATTCCAGTTAAAACCTCCGCTTGTATCGAGGAAAATGATCGAAGATCTGAAGCTGAAACAGGCTCACCATTGCTCCCATTTATACCGCATGCCGCGCAGTGTTTGTTCTTTCAGGACCGGGCAGAGGGAGGAATTTCCGTTTGGCCAGAGAGTGCAGCCTTGCAGACTGTTCAACGCCCATCCAGCCTTATCTTAAAAAAAAAAGGGTCTCCAATCAAAAGACACACACGTGCGCACGAATCTTTAATTAGATGACAAATGATTTAAATCCCAAGAGCACCCCCCCCCCCCCCTTCACCACATCCCAGAGGAACAGTCTCTTCTGTGTCATAGGAGGAGAAATTTTCCTGAAATCCCAGATGGTTGCTCAGAAATATCATCCTTTAATCCAAATTAATGGGGAACCTGTGATTCAGTCTTTAGGTCAACTGGAGGCCAAGTGACTTTCAATCTGATTAGAAGGATAAAAGGTGAATAAACAAACTACGTTTAAGGTTTCAGCTGAATAAACATTTATTTACCATAAATATCTATAAACCATCCATTCATTTTATAATTCAATTCAAATCAGCTTATTTATGTAGTGCAGATTCAAATTACACGTCATCTCAAGGCACTTTACAGTTCACCAGATCATACAGTCAAATTTATTCAAAGTTTTCTATCAAAGTCATTGTCTCAAAGGCAATCCCTCACACTAAGCATGCTTGTAGCGACAGTGGAGAGGAAAAACTCCCTTTTAGCAAAAAGAAACCTCCAGCAGAACCAGAATCAGTGTGAGCGGCCATCTGCTGAGGTCGACTGGGGTTCAAGGAGACAGAAGCAGAGACACAAAAAGAAACTGTAAAAGGCGGCCCCTTCCAGGAAGACAAGCTCCAAGCCAGCTCCCATGCCAGAGGACGAAGAGAGCACATCAAGCCAGTCACAGTCAGAGAAACAGGACTACACTGGAAAACAGGCCAATCTCCAGCATCTATAAACAAAAGTGTTGATTTTAGCAGCACAGATGAGGTTTCAAAATAAGAAGCCAGTTTCCCCCTGATCTGTGCTGCTTTCAAACACCTGTTGCTGCTCATTGTCAGTCAGATGGCTGAAAAATACTGCTACCTGTTTTCTTCCCTTATAACAAAAGCAACTATGACTCACTGGTGTAACTTTCTGAAGGGCTGGTGTGGACGTCCCACCAACTTTGGGCATGGAGGGGACAGTGCCCACCAATAACTTACACCTTTTTCCCCTTATTTACTTTAGCCCACAGTAACTGGGGTTGGGTGTAGCTAACTGTGTTTAGAGTGTTTCACAGTCCATGTTTTTTCCTCGCTCTTCAAGAAATATCATTGGATCTGTCGTTTTAGGACATGATATTATTTGGGTTCGATATTCACTGCATACAGAGTAGCTACGTGGAGGAGAGAAACACAGCAGCACTCAGTCAATTTTAACCAGCAGCTACTTCCATAGATGTTTCAGTAAAAGTTAGGAGACTGGTTGGTTAAAAACTCAGAGATGCCATAGAAAAATGTGTTTGTTACATATATGGAGCTTTTTCAGCTAAAAAAGGCAGCATATTGTACATTTATATAAGTTAAAAAGCTAGGCTTCTCAGAAGACCATTACTCAGATTAAAATGAACACATATTTATTGTTTTCTGATTGGACAGAGAATCAGACTGCAGAGCTTCTAGGGATCTTGAAAATGATTTTCTCTGGCATCATTATATTGGTAGACAGGTTTATAAATCTGTTTTTAAGCAGAGCAGAGACACAATTAGGGAGAGCTGCCTAACAGATTTACTGGGATATGCAACATGCAATAAATATATCCCCATGTTTTAAGAAAAAATACGGTATGCTATAATAAAATTTAACATATCTTTTTGTCTTTTGTAGTTCAACCAGACTCAGAAATAGCTGGACCAGCAACCCAGAGACAGCCAGACTCACTGGATACAGATATACAATTAAAATATAGGAAACCTGCAAGAATGAAAGCAAAAATAATAAAAGTTAATGTATAAAGGATTTTTGAAAAATAAGGTTCAATTTATAGACTTTGGCTGTTAATGACACATGGGACAAATTTCTAAATTAGATTTTGCTGCTTGTGAAGGAGAATAATCACTAATGCCGCTTAAAGGGAAGCCATGCATGGATGGACTGACGGAAGTGAAGTTGTGTCCATTCTAGAGATGCAGGATATATTGATGTTGGCATCGGATATCAGGGTTTATTCATCATTTTTTTATACATTAATGTTTTTGAGCCCTTTATAAATTAATGCACTAAAGGCAAGCATCTGTCTATAACTATAGATATCAATGTATTGTGGTTCTCTTGTGTTCTCAACAATAGTAAAGCATTCATTAAATTCATTAAATATGTTTGAGCTCATTTTTGGAAAATGCAAACCCTTATGAAAGCGTTCGGGTTCCGTAGCTGTAGGTCCATCAGCCTCTATCCCTAGAGCGTCCGACCAACTTTTATCACAAAAATACACCCTTGCTATGACTACATTTATATTTGTTTTTAGGTTGGTTAAATGCAAGCGACATGTCTGCCAGGCAGTGGATGGCAGAGCAGAAGGTCTGACCATTTACCCATCTGCAGCTATAGGCTGCTACTCTACTAACAGTAAATCAGGAAAAGGGTATCATATCATATCTGGTGAAAACTTCCATGGATTTAATCAGATGTTTATTCCATAGTACAGAAAATATATGGAGCAAATACAATACCCTATTAAGTAAGCCTAGTATAAATTATTATTTTATAATGTTTTTCTCCAGTAGGAATAAGTAAATAAATAAATAAATAAATAAATAAGGTACTCATATATTTTAGATGATAGAGACTCATACGTTTTCACCAATAATGTTTGTATAACTACCTTGGTACCAAAGGTATCCAAAAATTGCACTCAAGTAAGAAATATTTGTTAAAAAGGCTACCTAAGTACTAAGTAACTCATGTGATATTTAAAATCACTTAATAATGACCAAAATATAATTTTAATTGCAAATTCTGGAATTTTAAAGACTAATTTAAGTGAAAAATAACAATTCCTAAACATAAAAAAAAAAAAAAAAAGAATTCAATGAAACCAGTATCTTCAGTGCCGACATGCTCCTCATATTATATTAGCCTGACCTCCAAACATCTTAGTAGGTTCAACTATTCATTTTGATTAAAAACCATAACTGTGTGTATTTATCTGGAGCTCTTTTTCCATAAAATATTCTTTTGGGGCAAAGCTGGAAGGAGCAGCCAAGAATTTTATTCAAATTAGTGTAGCTCTAATTAGTTTAATTTGATTTATTTTAATTTATTAAGATATTAACCAAGTAAAAGTAAAAATCAAAGTGCAATAAAACTCCCCCTAAAAGCACACATTTGCCAAAAAGTTACTCAAGCAACTGAAACTGAATAAATGTAACTAGTTTCCACCCAATTGTGGATGCAAGCACTTCCCAATCAGTTGAACAAACGTCAAGGTATGGAGTGAATTTTGCTTCATTATTGTTACTGGCAAAAATGCTATTTTTTAAAAGGAAAAATAAAAAGTAGTCTAAATAGGTGTCGCAGTCTTAGTTCTGTTATGTTTTCTTTTAAGTATTCAGTTTAACTGTGCTGCATGTTTTCTAGCTTTATTGGTTTAATTCTTATTTTGTTGCGTTTTCAAACAATGCCCTCTGTCGCCCTCTTGTGTTGGTCTCCTTTTTCCCTAGCTCCTTAGACTGCTCTCTTCACACCTGCTCCCAATCTGCTCGTTAGTCCTCTTTTTGTTCAGTTAGCCATAAATACTTCATTTGTTTGGTCGGTTTGTTTTTCTTTTTCTTGTTGGATTTTTTGGATTCCTGCCTCTGTTGTTTATGAACACTTACAAAATCTACAAGAAACTCACATCTGCCTCTGCATTTGGGTCCTCAAACCATAACCAAAACCAGTATCCAGAGCTCCAAACCTTCTTCCTTCAGGCAGGATACATAGGCTTAATAGAGTGGAACATACTTGCTTATTGTCCTTCTCTACAGATTAAAGAGAAATATAGAAAAGATTTATCATTTAACTTTTGAAAAAAAAAAAAAAATAGATTCAGATTTCTTTTCACAAACAGAATAAATTTCACATAACCATATGAAAGGTGGAAGGAGGGACAGGAGCATCACCCCACTTTCTCTGAACATTTCCCATGGATGACGATGATAATTATAGAAGCATCCTTAACCGTAAGTTCAACAAAAGCTCCTTACAGGAGAGACCCTGACTCACATGGACACATCGCCACAGGTAAGCTATAAAAATAGCTGCGACAATAGACATCTCAGACATATTTATAGTCTGAGTAAATCAGTCACCACTCGTAAAACATTCATCATATTAACGTTTTCCTCATGAGGGGAAGGTGCTACGGTTCCAAGGAGGAAGTTTGGAGCAACACGTTTGAATAGATTTCCTTTACAGGATGTAGAAACCTGCCATGACAACCTCCTATAAACACGCTGGTTCAACTCTTAGCGACTCTGACAGAACACAATCCGAGATGATTGATTTCTTCTCAGTGACTCAATGACGGATTAAATCAGTCACCAGCAATAAATTAAAACCAAGGAGATTGTGGCTGTAGTTTGTAAAGAGGCCAAAAAGCTTTAATTATTAGAGAACTGTGACACATAAAGTACATAGAAGACGTTCCTGCACAGGGTGGGGGTGAGGGTGTGGTGGGCTGGAAGGGGATGGAGGGGATGTGAGAAAGGTCGCTCTTTGTTCATGCTATAGAAACAAAAATAACCAAAGTGTATTTTATTAATGAGCATTTGATGTTTTGACTTCTGCACAGGGGGGAGCCAAAGAAGTTTGGCGCCGTTCGTGTTTCCTTTGGTTAAATTTTTATGGTTTCTGTGAGTCAGCAGCAAAATAAAAGCTGTGCACTGGAAAACTGATCAAGAAATAGCTACCTTAATTTGAGCCACCTTAATTTGAGCCACCTTAATTTGAATAGGTAAATGAGATAGTTTGCCAATGGGATGAGAATGTTTCCTCTTGAAATAAGATAATTAGATATTATGCACTTGAAATAAGATGATGCAATTGTTTTTCTCTTATTTTAAATGTAAATTGACTTGTTCTATTGGCAAAATGTCTAATTTTCTTCCTCAATTCAA